GAGAAATTGCGCTCCAATACTACCTTGACAAACAAAGGGTAAAATAAGACTAAAAACTTAACGTTTAAAAAGTGACATTTTTATGAGCTCCGAGTCACCGAGAAAACTTGGTCAGATGTTAGCAGCTTACTTCCCTGAGGAGGATGGAAGCGTTACATACGTAAGGTTCAAAAACAACGAACCTGGAATTGCGTACCAAATTCGCAATTACATGACCATGGAAGAGTACGAAAGGTTTCTACAAGAGAAACCAGCTCTAAACAACTCAGAAAAGAAAGAATAAAAAGTTTAACTCGTAATTGTTTATTTTTTTACTTGTATGGGCAAGCTGCAAGAATGAAGTCGACTATCTCAGTCTTTGTCTTGACCAGTTGGACGGCTCTTGTGAGTATGTCTGTTTTGCGGTCTCCAGCTGGTGTCTGACCTTCGTAATTGCGCATGTTCTTGAGAGCTCCAACTGTAAATGATTGTAGGATGAAGAGTCTCTCAGACTGCTTGAGGTAGTCTTCACGGTCACGAACCGAATCTGTGGTACGAGTCGAATCGGTCGATTTGAGGGAAGAGACTGAAAGCCTGTCGTCTTCCATAGGGGCTGTGGCATAATCTTTGCGTAAGCGGTTCAGACCTTCCTCGAACTCTTGGTCTCTCTTCGATTGAGATTGGAATTGGAATTGCTGGGGTGGAGCTTGCTGGAACATCCAAGGGTTGGGGAAGTAAGGCATAGGCTGAGGAGGGTAGTTCGGGAAGCCTTGTGGTGGGTAGTAACCTTGAGGTGGAAATTGGTAGTAAATCGGAGGTACTTGCTGGAACTGAGGTTGCTGAGGAGACTGTTGTGGTTCTGCAGCTTTCGGTTCCTCTGGTTTGGGAATGGACTCGGTTGGTGGGACGTGGGACATTCGTTTGTGTCCTGTCGGATGGAAAATATTTTCCTGTCGGAAGGAAAAACTTTTCTTGTCGGAAGGAAAAATTTTTCCTGTCGGAAGGAAAAACTTTTTCTGAAGTTCGACCAAAAAGTTCTCAATTTTCGAAAATTTGAATGGTTTACGGACGGACAACTGGAAGAGTTCTTCCTGTCGGAAGGAAAAAATTTTCCCTTTGTCCGGAAAATTTTTTCCAGTTGTCGGGAAAATATTTTCCTGTCGGATGGAAGGACTCGGAATGCCAGAAGTATTTGACGAGGCAATTTACCTTATAGAGATAAATGAAGTTGTTAAGCAGTACTTGCGCAGGGTAATGAAGCCCAAGGTCAAGTTCACCGCTATTTCTGGAAGGGCTGTCTTGAATCTCGAGACTTCGACTGGAATTCCAATTCAAATACCAGAAAACACTCCTTTCGATGGCATAAAGGACGCCAAAAGAGAAGCTCTTGTTAAGTTCCTAAACAAACGTCCTTGGATAAAAATACCAAACAAGGAGAACCCCCTACCCCATATGAAATTGGCAATTCAGTCTCTCCTTAACTTCTCGGGTCAGCCGTTCTACATAACCTGTGAAGGCGACATCCAACCAGTTCAGTCAACCTTAACGTTTTGAGTAAAAACATTTTTTTTTCATTTTTTGAATGAAGCAAGTTAAATTCGTCCCACACCAATCTCAATGGACCGATGAAGAGTTTCAAGCCATGGTTGAAGGTGTTGAGAACGACATAGACGGCGAACTTGAAGGAGCTCAAACCACAATTGCAACCAAAATTGCACAAGTCAAAGAAGAGATAGCTCCACTTAAAGCTACCAAAGCTACTCTTGACCTCATGGATACTTACCGTTTAGAAGTAAAGAGTGGAATAAGACAATTAAAATTGAAACTTCTAAACTACGAAGCTATACTCCAAAAGTTAGCAGAAATGAGAAGACTTTACCAGAGCTACTTACATGTAAGGGACTTACCTTCAAGCAGTCCGACCAAAGATGAATTTGTTGACATTGTCCCAATTTTGTCCGAAAGTCAGCTCAGATGTTTCGAACTGCTCCCAACATATCCGGAATATGAACGTTTGCCTGAACTCTTCCGCAATCTCAAAAAACGTTTTTTGGTTCTCATGTTCCAAACTTTTATCGGAAGAGACAACAAACGTTCAGAAGAAGAACAAGATATTATTTTAAACTTGTTGTATGACTTAACTGTCATAACAAGCTTTTTGAAGTAAAACCGCCATTCTCAAACCACTTCATTTTTTCGATGTCCGAACAAGCACCGAAGCCAAACTCAATGGCAGATGTCCTTTCAAGGTTGCCAGACAAGCGCCCAATTCAAATTCAAATTGCCCAATTGAACGCTTGTCTGGCAAACTCCATTAAGACTCTCCAAAATAGTCTTATGTTAGAGATAACCAATCTCAAAGCCAATGTCCTCACGAACCAAGCTTCCAATGAGAAAGTCCTGTACGAGTTCGCGGAAACCTTGCGCCAATACAACATAGAGAACCAAAACCTTGCCCGACTCATCTACCGTTTCTTCGAAGAGATAGACGCCATCTGGAAGGTACTCGGAAAGGACAGAACCTCCAACACCGTAATTCGTGAACACAGAATTGCCGAAGGTATTATCAAAGAAGAGGAAGAAGAGGAAGAAGAGGAAGAAGAAGAAGAAGAGAAACACGAAGAAAAGGAAGTTTGGGCAACCCTTGTTGCCGATGACGCTTACGAAATTTCCCAACCCTACCCATACAAAATCCGCAACAAGGAGACAGGCAAGGTTCTTACCCCAGTCCTCAACAACTTGGGACACTTGAACCTTAACCTTCGGAATTACGGTTCAATTTCCATGGGAAGGCTTGTCGGTATGCAATGGGTTCCAAATCCAGACAAGAAGACGAGGGTCAGACACATTGACGGTGACAAGCTCAACAACCGTAAGGAGAACCTCGAGTGGTTCTAAGAGTAAAAAAATTTTATTTTAGGGGGAAACCCAAGTAAATTTAGGTGTTTATTTGGATAAGTATGTTAAATTAAGGGTAATTTGCAAAATTAGTTCCCGACCTTTGAATTGGGCTCTTTCGTTATCCCAGTTGTGTAGGAGGTCGTCCCAGAGGAGTTGGTAGAATTGCCAATCCAAGGACGATTTGTCCTCCCAGGCATTGAGGATGTACTGCTCGTAGAGTTTCATGACCTCTGCCTTGCACCAGACACCCTCTCCCTTGGAACGTAAGGCTTCTTCGAAGTGCTCGAATGCGATTGGCTGCGTGACCATCCGAAATGACACTTTTTGTCCGTTTGGTCAATGTTCGTGTCTCGTGCCATAGTCGACGAAAATACAGACAAACAGGTTATATATGAGTTTGAGACCAAGAATGGTGTAACTCGACCTGTCCGATTCAAAGACTCCGAGGGCGACCATGAAATTAAACGGAAATTAGCTAGGAGGGAATATAAAATGGACTGGTTGCCACCACCTCCACCTCCACCACCTCCACCACCTTTACCTGTTCCTCAAGTAAATAAGCCTTTCCCGTTCCCAAGAATTCCCACATTTTAATTCAAATTCGAATAAAAATTTTTTATTTCATGCAATGTTTTATTTCTGTGCCGTCTTCAAGTATGCCCCAGTACTTACGCTTGGAGAGGACATGAACTTCGGTGAAAATTTTGTCCAATTTGAATTGACCCATCTTTTCACCGACCATTCCCATTTCAATGAGTTTGTTGTATCCTTCTTCGTTCGTCATGAGTGCGTCAATGTTCTCATAGTAAACCTTCACTTTGGATTTGACTTCGGAGAAGAATTTGTTGTAGTTGTCAAGGACTGCCTTTGCGAACTGTCAAGAAAACAAAAGGAGAAAATTTACCTGCACAATATTCGTTGAGATGTACTTAAATCTATGTAGTGACTGTGTGCAGGTAAATTTTCACCTGAAATCGTTTTACTTCCACCTGTTTCCTTTGAAGAGTTTGCACAATACAAAAACCTGTCGACTATTTGAGTCCAAGTTCCAAAACCAAGTACTACTTCTGGTCTGGTAGAGTTCATTGACGTATAAATAGAGCCTATAGGATATAATGTTTGAAGTATTTCTGTCTTTAATGTTTGAAGCTCTGTTTTGTCTGCTTTCTTGTCATATAAATCTTGAGCAGTGAATTTAATATTATATTCATCCTTCATGACATAAACATCTTTACATCTAATGTTTCTCATCGTCGTTATGTCGTCATCCGATGTTAAACCTTGTGGAAAGTTAGGAGGTTTACAATATAATACATCCCCACCAGTTTCTTCAACCGTTCCTTCAATACTTTCTATAGCAACAGTTGTAAACTTGTATGTGTATGAGTCTTATTTGCTTTCTTCTCTAACTCATCGTTAACATAAGTTTTATCTGCTTTAAGGTCTAAACATCCTGAAACCCATCCTGTATCAGCTTTAACTTTAAAAGTCTTCGATGTCCATTCATGGTACCAGTCAACCCTTTCTTTCATTTCATTATCTTTTTCATCCACATATTCCTTATCTGCTTTCTTCTCTAACTTACTAGCCACATATTCCTTATCTGCTTTATTTTCAAGGCTAACGTTTAAGTCTGTTATTTCAGATATAGAATGTGTATGAGTCTTTTTAGAATATTCGTTTTCAGCTCTTGTCACTTCACTTGACATTTTATTGTCAACATATGTTTTGTCTGCTAGTTCAGGATGAGTATGTTCTTTTGTTGCATAAGCATTGTTAGCTCTTTCTTCTTCTTTTGCTATTGCATCGTCTACATATTCTTTGTCAGCTTTGTTGTCAACATCTGCTTTCAAAAGAAGTTCATTTATAGGTTTCTCGTTTAAAGTTCCTTTTGTTGGATTTATACAGACAGTATGGTTCTTATTGTCTTGAAACAGAAACTCATCTGTCATTGGGTTTATTGTCAGTTTTAAGTTTCCTTCTTTCAATGACTCAGATATCTTAGAATAGTTTGAAAAGTTTGTTGTGTTCTTATTTAGAGCTTGCATAATGAGTTGTCGGTTGTGTTGTATTTCTCTTATGGAAGCAATATCTTTCGACATTTTTATTCTAGATAAAATATGCTTTCAATAGAAAAAGAAAATTCAAGAGTTGCTACAACTAAACCATTAGATGAACTTTTTACTAATGTCGGTCAAAAGTTTGAGACAGAGACCGTAAAGCATGAAGGCTATCGTTTTGACTACCCATTAAGATGGCTAAGAGACCCATCTGTCACAAAAGCTATTGGCTTTCGTAGAATGAAGTTCATTTCAGAAGCCATACATGGTTTCCCATTTACGGTCGGTTTTGAAGTTCGATACTATAACAAAGAAAAACGTATGTATGAGAAATTTGAACAGGGAAAACTTTTACAAGTTAGTTTGCTTGTAAACTTAGAAACAACTCTTCAAGCTTTTCAAGAAAAAATAAACGATATCTATATCGAATATGCAAACCAGTATAACATTGACGAAGGAGAATACCATCTCGATATTATTTATGACAGGAAAAATGCAACTGTTAAAATCAATAAAATAGAAGACCTTGGAGAAAACGTTTATATTTCTACAAAATATAACAACTTGGCATGGTATAGATTTATGAGGATGTTAAATCAGCCTGCAGCATATCCAGTACACCCAGACTTTTATGAAGTCGAAAACCCTAATGGAACATATGAAAATGTTTTCGACCAAGATGCTATTATTGTTCATGCTTCATTTTCTGGCGCCCAAAACTCTTCTTATGCTTGGCAAATGACTTTTACGAAAAACCTACAAAGTTATACGAACCACCAAGTGGAAGTATTTCAGACTTTCAAGTATGGTTTACTACAGATGGAAGAAAAAGAAAATTCCATTATACCATGCGTTTTACTTAGAACTTAGTTTCATATACAACTACTATCGAACGGTAAAAATATAATTTTTTAATACGGTTGAGGTGTTGGATTTGGTTGCCAACTAGACTGTGGTGCAGGTTCAGGCTGTTGTATAACAGGAGCTTGTTCTTCTGGTTCAGGGTCTTTAGGTATAATACCAACGAACTGACCTACCCTTTTACCAATATTTTTGACTCCGTTCCAAATTCCTCTTCCTACGGTTTTTATTCCATTCCATATACCTCTTCCAACTCTTCTGAAGAAGTTTCCAATACTACTGAAGAAACCCATTTTACTATATGTAAAAATCTAATGTCCGCCTAGTCTCTTACGTTTCCTGTTGAGTTCCATAGCATTCTTTAACTGGAGCTCATACATTCTGTTTCTCCTCTGGTAGAAAACATATTCTGGTCAACTCCTGTGTTCGCGTCATCTGCATAAAGTTGTTTATATCCCACTTCAGGGTTTGTATAAAACTCTTTCCATCTCATATTTGCATACCATGGTGGCAAACCTAACGCAGCGTCATTTGACATGGCAGTTTGCATTTGTACATCTGTTGGCACTTGACCATAGTTTGCCATTGCAGTTTGTATTCTAACTTCATTTGGAATATTCTCTGGGTTTGGTTGTCCAGGTTGCTGTGCATTCGCTAAGTTCTGTGCGTCCATTTAATATTAGATAAAAATATCTCTTACGAGTACATATACTGAACATTTGCAGGCATTGGTTCATCTTCATATTCTCTATATCTTTCTGCCACGTCAAAGAAATAAATGACACAATGGAAAAAACCTAAAACAAGTAGTCCTATTTCAAACCACATTTACTTACTAATAAAATTTCTTTGTTATGACACTTTCTCCGGTTTATAGACCTCTCTCATATTCTATCTTGTCATATCTAAACTCATAGTCATGTATGTCCTCTAACCATCTCATAACGGTTTCCAAACCACTTTTATCGGATGTAAAGTAAAAGCATGGATGGTTATGTATAACGTCTAAAGTTTCTAAAGAGTCTCTCAAAGTCCAGTCTACTTGGTATTGAAAATCCCATGTGTTATAGAACGGCGGGTCCACTATAAAGAAAACATTTTCCTTGTCTTTATATTTTTCATACAACTCTGTCCAATAACATCTCACAAACTCTATACCCTCAATATATTTTTCTATGTCCTCTTTGAAAACATTTGTATAGTTAAGATATAAAACTTTTGACATAAGTGTTTCAATGTCATGAACTCTTATAGAACCACTATATAATAGTCTAGCAGATATACTATCCCAGTCTATATATTCTGCTTTTTTCAAAACCTCTTCACAATATTTTTCTTATCTAATGGTATACGTTCCATCTTACCTATAGGTATCTTTTCTTTTAACTCTTTCAATATATTGTTTGTGTCTGGAATATGTTTGAGACGGTCCATATAGTTGTCGAAGTCATTGCATATAATCTTTGAGTCTGGGAATATTGTATGGCACAAATGGGATATATAGAAACTTCCACCGAACAAATCTACAAATGTTAGACCATTCGGTAGTTTCTTAAGTTCTCTCAATATAATATCTTTACATTTACCCTTATTTCCAAAGAACGGTAACGGTGGTTTTGTAAAATTCATTTATATATAATAATAAAAATGTTTTTCCTGAAAAGTGACAGAAAAGTGACAAAACATGAAAACATATATAATTTGTGAAAAGCGACACATTATATAATGTTTTCGACCCAGAAGAAGGCTTCTTCCCAGAAGCAATGGAGGAAGAAGAAGAGTCCTCCGAATTCACACCAGAAGACTAACAATTTTCCGAATATAAACTTCATTTATACTAAACATCTTCAGGGCTAGAGGGCACGAAGTGCCTGGAGGCCCCACTACCTTTTTTTTTTTTTTTTTTTTTAATAATATTCCATATCATCACCCATTATATTTTCATCATATTTTTGGAGATATGCTTTTAAATCGTAATAATCAAGAAAATTTTGATTAAATACTAAATCATCAATTAAATTTTTTAAATCTACACTATTCATTTATATAAAAATTTGTGTAAATATCATGATCTTCTTTCTTAATTGTATTAGTTGCATATGTCACGTTTTTAAGAGCTTTTTTGAATTTCTCAGAATCTAAAGGTGGTGAAAGTAATATACAAGGGTATTCTTCATTATCAATAAATTGTAACTTATGTTTACGAATAAATTTAGTTCCTTCTTCTGAAAGTGTTTCATCTATTTCACCATCTAATAAATTTTGTGTTGATTCTAAGACATAATTTTTATATCTTTCTTCATGAGATTTCTGAACTGCTGATTCTGAAGCTGGGATATTCATTAAACCCTCTACTTCATTTTCATTATATTTTTCAACTTCTCTTAATTCCTTAATTTTTTCATCTATTTCATCTCTTATTTTTTCCAGTCTTTCAATTTCATCATATTCATCATCTTTAATTCGTTCTTCATAATATTCAGGGAAAATCAGGTTCTTTAGGTTTTCTTCTTTAGATGTGGGATATAAGAAATTTATAACATCATTTTTATTCATTTTTCCATCATAATCAAACTCATTTAAAAACTCGGCAAATTTTTGACAATTTCTTAAATAATATTTATCAACTTCATAACCCGCTTCCTCTAATATTTCCTTTATTTCCTCATTTGTGAATCCCAATTTTTTAACGCTGTTAGTTTTGACGCTCATTTCATACAAAATAAAAAATATATGATTCAAAAAATGTAAGACATGAATTTTTAAAGTTTATTTTTTTAAATTTTTATTTTTTATTTTTTATTTCATTATGTATGGGTTGAGTGTAAATGTCTTACAATTTTGAAAATTTTTAAATCTTGATTTATTCAAAAACGTAAGAATAAAAACCGTAAGAATCATACATTTTTTACTTCATATGTAAAAAAAATGATACGAAATCGTTCAATATTGTATGAATTCTTACGTTTACAAAAAAAGTCACACAACCCGCACTCATATACTACTTCTCAACCAAAGAGAAACATCAAAAGAACTTTACCTGATTCTAGTATATATGCATTATTGTATCAGTGAGTAGAGTTCAAAATAGCTGCAAGTGGATTTGAGTATGCATCTCAAGAGAATTCAGACTTTTTCTATTTCTGAGGTTTTGAATTACTGAATCATGATTTATTTTGAAATGATAGAAAAAAAATCCATTCAAAATAAGAGTTTTTAAGCCATTAATTTGATAATCTTTGATAATCGTAAACTCAATAACTGTACAACTTTTTCTATTATCAGAGAACGTATTACACAACTTATGAGGTCATCCACATATCATCTGTTTTATAATGATTTCTAGAAATTTTTTTATTTTGGATAATATTTTAAAAAACCCGGAGTAATAAAACTAGGTTTAGTGAAAGATTCTCTAATATAATCGTACAACAGGTTTTTTTCTATTAAAATAGAAAATTAAATTAAATTTCGTCGGCAGGACGTTCTTGTTGATCCATATTTTCGACAGACTCTTCCTCTTCCTCTTCCTCTGGCTTTTCCTCTTCTTCGGATCCTTCGACAACTCCTGTCTTGATTGCGACGACAATCTTCTTGAAAGGCTTGATGAAGAAGAGAATACACACAACGAAGGAGTACATATCATTGCATGTATAAGTGAAGAAGATTCTGCGTGGATTGGCCTTTCCGTCTCCTGTGAAGTACAAAATTGTACTGAAGATAGGAACAGGAAGAACCAAGGTAAGGATGGATAGGGCTGAAGAAGCAAAGATTCTTTTTGTGGCTTGGAGAAGAACAGGGACCATATACTGGACTCCTAAAGTAAAAGCCGTATAGTAAAGAATTGGAGTAATGGCTTTGGACATTTCGAGGAATGATTCTGATGTTGACCAAAGCTTTGAGATTTGTACAGGCATTGAAATAATTACGATCGAAATAATTAAACAGCAAAGAGTACAGAGCCATAACCCATGAAGGAATAATCTAAGCATTCTCTTGATGTTCTTAGCTCCGTATGCATATGATCCTGGATTGAGAAAACCAGTAGAAAAGCCAATACAAATACCACCAACGATTAAGTAAAGTTTCTCAACGACAGCCCAGACTGCGACAGCATTTCCATACTGGTTAATCGCTGTTGCTGCGTTGTTTACTTATTTTTGCATCAATAAAAATGGTAATGTCAAAGATATCTGAGAGATGAGCGTAGAAAATCCGATTTTGAGTGCGTGTTTTGTTTCTGCGCAGAATGGTTTGATAAACATGTTGAGTTTCGGTTCGAGGCGATATTTTCCTCTGAAAATCAATACTGTAATGATGATTCCTGGTATAGCTTGCGATAAGATTGTTGCTAACGACGCTCCCCAAATTGGAGTTTTGATAACTAAGAGAAGAATTGGAGCGAAAATTCCAACGTTTAACACAAAGGAGACAACTTGGAATACAGCGTATGTAACTGATTTTCCATCTGCAAGAATAACTCCAGATGAAACTAAGAAAATAATATTAAACATGCAGCCGCCTGTAATAAGGCTCATGTAAAGCAGCGAAAGGTGCGCAGTTTCTTCATCGGCACCAAACCATCTGATTACAGGCTGCGTGGCTGGAAGTACTATACATGGTGTAATTATACCAAGAATTACACTTATTCTCAGAAAATCTACGAACAATTGGTGAGTATCGTCCAATTGCTGAGCACCATATAAGTAACTAAGTCGAACACTAATTCCCGCGGAAAGAAACTGAGCAATAGCTACAGCAAAGAACTCGACAGTGTATACGGCGCCATAAACTTCAACACCGATTTGACCTATGGAATTGGCAACGAGGATTGAGCCTATAACACTAGTAAGGGCTTGTACAATTTGCGAAATTAAAGGTCCAAGTGACATAATAAGAAGGGTTATCAGCGGCGGACGACCTCCTAGCTGATAGTCATCATCGGAAACATCAATTTTCTTTTCCTCCTTATCTGTATCAAGATCTATATTATCGTTCATTCTTTTATAAAAAACTTTTTTTGATATCTCAAAAATTGAGAAGGATGGATAAGTGTTCAATAAGAATGATTTAAAATACATCAGACATCAATAATAACTTGGAAAATTTTTAGTGTGTTCGGTATTTATTTGTCACTTTTAATTCAAAAGCGATCACGCCTGTTTCAGCTCTATATTGAGTATTTCCAGAATTAATTTTGCGTATTTTAAATAACCCATACTAATACAGTCATTACTTTTGTATTGCCTTATTTTCAATCTGTCAGTCTATAATTTTCATTACGTTGGATATGGTTTTATGAAACAAAAAATGCTCGAAGTAGTTATATTTAACGTAATAAACAATACAATTTTATTTAACATTAATAACAATTTGTTTCTGTGGTGCTTTTGATTCTTTCATAATATATTTTAAGGAATTTATCCTTGATTTCATTTCATCTGTTGCTCTTTCAATCGCATCTAGTCTATCATCTAATTCTTCATTAGAAGAAGATATGTTTTCCTTTCTATCTTTATAAATACTTGGAGATTTATCGTGGAAATGCTTCCTTGAAGTATGTTCGTGCTCATGCTTATGACTACTATGATAATGGTGATGATGCTCATCATTTTTACTATTTTTCTCCCTTTCAGATACAATCTTTCGATGACTCGAGTGGTCGTGATTTTTAACTTTTTCAACTTTCTCTGTTTGGTGATGATTCCTTCCGTGATTCTTTTCTTTGTTGATTTGCACTGTATGAGAATGATGGGAGTGATGAGAACCATGATGACTATGATGATGGTGGTGATGCTTTAGTTTATTATCTTTATCTGGTTTCACTTCCTTCTCTTGAGTCTTTTTTGGAACTATTTTAGCAACTGGTTTTTCATCTTCGCTGTAAGAATATGAGCTGCTAAGTTCTACATCATTTATCTTCTCTTGTTTTCGTTTAGATTTAGTTATCTGTGGTTCTTCATCGCTATATTCATTCACCGGGATATCGTGTCTCTTAGATTTTGGTTTAAGTGGTTTAGGTTTGATTTTTGCTTGAACTGGAGCAGATTTTACTGAAAGATTATCTTCTGTTCCAATATCTTTGGATTTATTTCTTATTTTTTGGTCTTTCTTCTTTCGAAGTTTGCCAACGTTTCCTGTGGATGCAGCATCTGATTTAGAAGGACTTTTCTGAATACCAAATTTCTTTCTCGGAGATGAGTTTCTATTCTTCAATTTCGTTTCGTTTATATCCGGCGAGTTTTGTGCTGACAATTTCTTTATTTTTGAAGAAGTTGCGGATTTAACGGAATTTTTACTTTTCTTCGGAGATTTCTTTGGTTCATCTGGCTTATTAATTTTGTTTCGTTTTCCTTTGGGAGAAATTTTATTTTTCTTTGTTTGACTCCTTTTATTTGAAACAGGAATAATATCCATATCTTCGGATGATTCTTCCTCACTAAATTTTGCTTTCTTTGTTGGTGAAGAAGATCTACTCTTCTTTTTGTTCAATTTAGGCTTTTGTTTTGGTGATTTACTCTTCGACCTTTTTGATTTTACTGATTTGTCATCAGAATCACTTCGAAGATCAACTTCTTTAATCGGAGAACTCTGTCTCGACTTTGTCTTCCTTTGCTTAGGAATTTTTGCTTCTTTATTTTTCTGTTTCTTAGATTTTTGTTCTTCAAAAGAGTCATCATCACTTGATGATTCCATCCTCTTTTTCTTCTTCAAAATAAAATTTTCACTTGATTCAGAATTCTCTGAAGAATCTTCTTTAAAAGATTTCTTGTTCTTCTTAATCCTCTTTGGTATATCTTCATCAAATTTCTTGGGAACTTTCTTATCATTATCTATATTCTTGCTCTTTTTAATTTTAATATCTTTCATCAGCGGAGAATCATCACTTGAACTATCAAATTGATTTCTTCTGATATCATTTTCTAATTTCTTAGAATCAACCCTTTTTGGATTAGGAAATGAATATTCATTAAAATCACTAAACTTATCAAAGATTTCCTGCTTTCTCCTTTGAACTCTTTCTATTTCTTGAAGTTCTCTTTTCATCTTTTGCAGTTTTAGCTCTTCGATTTTCCTCTTGAATGCTTCATTTTCTTCTCTTAATTTCCTGATTGTTTCTTCATCTTTCATTCTCATTTCTGGAGTGTATTTTCCTAATCTCAAAATTTCTGGTTTTTGATCAGGTTTCATTGGTGTTTCAAACTTAAAACCAGTATCATCTTCTGCATTTATTGGAATAATGGGATTGCTAGCTTTAACTCTTTCAAATGTATTTTCTTTTATATCTGAATAAACATCAGAAAGATCCAAGTCATTCTTCCCAGGATTCTTTTTATATTGAGAATCAGATTCACTCCATTGACTCAAACTAGAATCAAAGTTCTTTTCATTCTGTAGTTGTTCAATCCTTCTTCTATATACTTCAATTTTTTGATTGACAAGTGGGTTACTGTTTGCTTTTCTGTCTTTCTTCATTGATTTTATTGATTCAGTGTCACTGTCCTCCAAATTTCTTTCAATAATATCAGATCTTATTGATTTATCTCCACCTTTGTTCAAAATAGAGGATCTTCTATGACTGGATTTACTTGAATGACTGCTTCTATTAGATTTGAAATCTTCAACTTTAAACGCGTCTGGATTCTCAATGATTTCTACTGGAACAATTTGGCTCTCCTTCGCTCTCGATCTAGATTTTTTGCTAGATCTCGCAGAAACTGGCTCTGAATCATCTTCGGAACTATTCATTTTCTTTTTTGATGATTTTCCTCTTGATCTTGCAGAAACTGGTGCAGATTCATCTTCGGAACTACTCATTTTCTTTTTTGATGATTTTTTTCTTGATTTTGCAGAAACTTGTGGTGATTCATCTTCAGAACTGCTTAATTTCTTATTCGCTAATTTTTTTCTACCTTTAGAACTTCGAGTTGAAAATTTTTCTTCTCCATCTTCTCCGCTGCTATCTTTGATATCTTTGAGTTTAGATTTTTTTCTGCCCTTTGAACTTCTATGTATTTCTTTATCATCACTGCTCTCATCATCACTCTGCATTAGTTTTTTTCTGCGAGAGAATTTACGAATTTTTTCCTCTTCTTCACTTGAGTTATCGCTAAACTTCTCTAGTTTCAAATCATTAGGAAAATCTGGGGTCTTCACATTTTCTGTGCTCTCTTCATTAAAATTTGATCTCCTCTTTTTTGATATTTTATGAGGTTCTTCATCTTCGCTACTATCATCTTCAATTCTTAATGATCTTTTTTTGCTATGAACTACTTCTTCATCAGAACTTTCATTTTGTGATTTTGGAAGCTTTGACATCTTTTTAAGTGGTCGAAAGTTTTTATCTTCATAATCACTTGATTCAGATGTTTCTTCTTCCTCCTCCTCTTCTTCATACTCTTCCTCCTCTAATAAACTTGATTCAGGCGAATTTGGTGCTTGCAGTTTTTTATTAGATGTCTTTGAATTCTTGACAAATTCATGTACTTCTTCTTCTTCATCCATTAGACTTGAGTCAGGCGATTTCTGACTTTTTGATTTCTTTCCATTAGATTTCGAATTACTGTTTTTCTTAGTTCCAAGATCTGATAGATCTTCTGAGATACTGGATTCAGGAGTCTTTGGGCCTTTGGAGTTAGATTTCTTTTCAGTTTTCTCTTTATCTTCGTTGGGTTTATTTTCTGGTTGCTGAGAAGTTTGGTTTGGAGTATCATTTTGGTTTGTAGCATCGTTTTGCTCCTGATTTCCATTACTTTGCTTACTATTTTGTTGAGGCTTTTCATCATCACTTGAAACAGGTGATTTAGGAGCATTCTTTGGACCATCTAAGTCACTAAGTTTTCTTTGGATTTTTACTTTATCACCATCATCGTCATCATCAGAATCTTCTTTGAATAATCTCCTTCCTGGTTTGTGTCCAAAATCATCATCCGACGAAGAATCCTTGAAAAGTCTTTTTCCTGAAGAAGGGTTTTCAAGAGATTTCGTGTCGTTTGTTCCTTCGTTATTCTGACTAGTTCCAGTATTATTTCCTGTATTCTCACTCGTTTTATTCTCTTCATCTTTCTTTGTCTTGATTTCATCCATCAAATCATTATCCGTATCATAGTCAGAGTAAATATCAGAACTCTGATTATGGAAGTTATAGTTTTTATTTGATCTTCCTGATAAAACTGGAGCCTCCTCCCTTTTGATTTCTTTGACTTCTTCTTCCTCTTCTTCAACATAAATGACATCTTCCTCTTCATAATGATCCTCTTCCTCTTCAGAAGCTGTTCTTTCTCTTGTTGTATTCACCTTCTTAGTTGCATATTCTGGTTCCTTAATTTCAAATTCATTTAATTTTTTAATTTTGAAACGAATTCTCACAGGATTGATGCCATGGTTAACCAATTCTTTGGAAACTATCATTAAGTTAAGAGGTTTTTCAGTCGAAATGCTGAATTTTAATTCCTTTTCAGGAATTTCATGATCAATCTGATTGTCAATAACAAAATTATTGGCTGGTTCAATATCAATACTATCCAAATGCTTAAATTCAAGCTTTGCAGAAGATTTTTCAATGAAAATGTCTTCACATTTGGTAATTTTACAGAATTGTATTTGATCTCTTGCCATAACTTCAGAATCTACAAGCTGTGAAGTTTTGGCATTAGTAATTTCAACTGGTTGCTCTGTAACATCATCAAGTTTCGAATCTTGCGGAGACATTTGAAGAGAAGAAGATTCAATTTCAGAAATAACTGCTTCAGTTTGGCCATTTTTATCAGCTTCTGTAATAGTAATACCATCAAGAACTTCCAAATAAGGTAATTTACTAATGATCTGTTGTCTGTACTTCTGACGATTTGTAATTGTATCTGGATGATATGAATTGAACATAGATATTGATTCAATAACAGTATCATATGCTTGCAATGGATACATGTGCTGTGTTACCTCAGTTCCACGTAAATCAAGAGCTTTAATTTGTTGATTTGCTGAAATGTATTTTAATACATCTTTCATGCTTTCGATTTTAGAAAAGCTAACATCTAACTCTGTAAGATTAGGACATATTTGCGTCAATATTGGAATTTGCTTCAATCTAGTACTCCTTGCGTATAATAATTTCAAAGATTTAAGTTTTTTAGCCTTCAGAAAACCATCATCTTCAATATCATTGAAAGATACATCTAAACGCTCTAGTTTCTTAAAACTTCTAAAAGTTTTCAATTCTGTAATTTGATTTCGTGATATATTAAGTACAACAAGATTATTTTGTTTGACACTAAGTGCAGACTCCAACTTATTACGTGAAATATCTAAAAACTCAAGTGCAGGGAAAGATGTAAAATCAGGCATTTCTGTTAACTGACAATTGCTAACTAAAAGTACTTTTAACGCAGGCATTTTTGTTCCAAAATTCAATTTATTCAGCGGATTCGATCGTAAATCAAGATAAACTAGTTTTGGTAATTGATCTCTTAAAAATATTGAGTGAATCTTGTTAAATGGGGCAACAATCTGCACTATTTCTTGATTTTGTTCTAAATTTTCGATTAATGGTACATTATTGTTTGAAATATTGAGGAATTGTAATTTTGGCTGTCTATCAAAGTGTTCAATCTTTGTAATTTGATTATTTGATATATCGAATACTTCTAAATTTGGGTATTTATGGAGAAATGATTTATCTAATGAAGTTATGACATTATTCGAGCAATTAATAAGTTTGATGTCTAAATTTTTCGGATTTTTCTTAACCTGATGGAAGAATTCGAGTTGTCTTGACTTAAGATCTATAATTTCGGACGATTTATATGAAGGATATTGAATTGGACACGCATTAAGAGTCCTCCACATTAATAAACGTTCACTTTACCAAAATTTTATATGAAATTTTAGGGATTGAATAAGGATAAATCTAATAAAATAAATGAAAACGATAGTTTATAAGCCAATAATATCATTATAAGAGTTATAACTCTTTCCGCTCTTCATTTAGGATTTTTCGTATCGAATTTTTGCAAGGAGCTCAATAATCAACATAAAGCATCAAATAATGACGAAAAGAACTAAAGTAGAAAGTGTTTTGCGATAAAATTCTTCTCAAAATACTATTATTTGCCCTTTTTCAATTTCAAATTTTGAGCATAGTTACAAACATTAACAAAAAACACCAAAAACTAGCTGCAAACATAGTACAGGTAGCTCAATTACACAAAGTATAAAATTCGAAATTCATTTAATATATTCGTCTATCATAATAAAAAATTGCCTTAGAACTTAATCTCCTTGACCTTTTCCCATGGGAGATCGATGTCTGTACGACCAAAATGACCATATGCTGCTGTCTGAGCATAGATTGGTCTGAGAAGATCGAGATCACGAATGATTGCATATGGTCGGAGATCAAAGTTCTTATTGACAATCTCAACGAGTTCCTCGTCGGTCTTTCCTTTACCAGTTCCGTAAGTATCGATAAAGACAGATAAGGGATGGGCAACACCAATAGCGTAGGAGAGCTGAACTAAGCAACGAGAGCAAAGGCCAGCTGCAACAAGGCTCTTGGCAACCCATCGGGCAGCATAAGATGCAGAGCGATCGACTTTTGTGGGGTCCTTTCCGGAGAAAGCACCACCGCCGTTCGCTCCCCAACCACCATAACTGTCTACGATAATCTTACGTCCAGTAAGACCGGAGTCTCCTTGTGGACCGCCGATAACAAAGCGGCCACCTGGGTTAATATGCAAAATTGTCTTGTCATCAACAAGATCTGCTGGAAGAACTGCATCAATGACATGCTTCTTAACATCGACACGAAGTTTCTCGAGTGTAACTTCGTCTGTATGCATTGTTGAAATGAGAACTGTATGAATTCTGCATGGCTTGAGGGATCCATTAGATCTTTCGTATTCAATTGTAACTTGTGTCTTGCCATCTGGTCCAAGATAAGGAATTGTTCCATTCTTGCGAACCTCAGCGAGCTTACGTGCTAACCCATGAGCCAGAACGTGTGTAAGAGGGAAGAGTTCCTTAGTTTCGTCTGTAGCATAGCCAAACATGATGCCCTGATCACCAGCACCAAGATCTTCTGGAGACTTGTTAAGGAAGACAGCCTCGGCAATGTCAGAAGACTGCTGGCTAATAGAAACCATAACGGCACATGTATCTGCATCGAAGCAAACCTTTGAAGAATTGTAGCCAATATTGCGAACCGCATCACGGATGAGCTTTTGATAATCAAGGTTAGCATTGGATGTAAGCTCACCAAATACCATAACAAAACCTGTCTTTGTGCAGGTTTCGCAGGCAACTTTGGAGTTTGGATCCTGAGCGAGGCATGCATCAAGGATTGTATCTGATACAATGTCACAGATCTTATCGGGGTGACCTTCTGTAACAGATTCGCTTGTGAACAGGAAGTGCTGAGTCATCAATAAAAATGATTGGACGTTTTTTCTCAATTTATTTTGAAAAGGGTATTCAATAAATTTGTGATAAAAATCCCGCCCGCGGCACTTTTACCCGCGCAGGAAAAAATGAACTAATAGACATCACCAACAAGATTTAAATGAATTGTCATTCAACTTTACAAAAATCTGAGTTATGGGCAAAATTTACACAGAAATTTATCATCCTTCTGACCATGTGAATAAAATAATGCTTTCTCTAAATAGCATTTATCCATTTACATAAAATCATATAAAATCATGTAAACGGAAATAATTCCAAACACTTTTATTTACCAACTATTGAGATTATCAATATAGGCTTTCTGTATAACATATTGACTATATTCAGTAGTTAATCTCTTCCTTGAATTAATGCCAAAAACAATTTTCGATCGACCAGCCTCAGATTTTGTAAATTATATTTGTATTATGCGATTCAAATGGATTTGCACTGCAAATTTCTAAAAATCTTAAAATTTGATTTCAAACGTCCTATTCAATAGGCCTCTTCTAAAATTTAGATAAACAATCTCATGAATTACTTATTGCATATGTATGAAATGCAGAATACAAATGCCTAATATGCCAGATTCTTAACGTCCAATAAGATGAATAATTTTATGTGAATTTTTGACTTTTATTTGAGATTTACCTACTATTATACTCAAGTGTACTCAACACATTTCTAAAATCTCCAAATTCTTCATTTTTGATTATGCATATCTGAATTAGTTGAGTTTATACCATAATTTCTGCGGAGAATATATTTGTTTACTAATGTATATTCTATGTTAACTACTGAAATCAAAATATATGGTGACCGTTTTTTTATAAATTAATGTTTGATTCTTCGGATGCGAATCCTCTAGAATCACAACCAGCTGACTTTTATTCAGAATCAACTAACGCTACAGCAGAGCATAATGAACAACTTAAAGAAGATAACGCAAACTTAATTAAACAAAACAGTCTCCTCAAGGCGCAGTTCGAATCAGCTGTTGCACTTGCGGCCAAGACTAAAGAAATCAGTAAAGAAAACGCTCAACTCAAGACAAAAATACTAGAAATGACTTCTCAGAGAGATGATTATATTAATCGCCTTGAAATAGCAACAAGGTCTCAAAAAGAAGCATTAAATAAATTAGAAGAACAAAAGAAAAACTTTGAAGAAGCAAGAGCAAACGAAATTTACGAAATTCAAAAGGAAATGAATTTAACGACTCAATCATGGAAGAAAAAGATCGACGAACTCAATTCTCAGATTCAAGAACGTGATGAAAACATAAAATCTTACCAAATTTCGGAAGAAGTCTTAAAACAAAAACTATTGAAATTAATTAACAACATTAATCAATATCTCGCGATCAATATTGCAGACATTAACGAGCTCTTTTTATTCTTCGAATCTCCACCACCACAAAATACTTCTTCAGTGCTTTCTCAAACCCAATCTTTCAATCAGAATATTTCAGAGATTAATTATCAACAAAAAATTAACAATATGAAAAGTAAGATCAAACAAATGAAAAATGTAATCGTTCTGCTGCACAAAAATTCAGAAGATTCAGAAAACGAAAATAAGAAGAAAATACTTGAATTCCATAAGAAAGAGAAAGAATATATTACAGAAATATCACGTCTAAAGAATATCATTGATACAAATACTGAAGATTACAAAGTTCAAATAAATGATTATCAAAATCAAATCAAACTTTACGAAGAAAGGGTTGCTATGCTTAAGGATCAAATTTCCAAGTCACCAGCAAGAGCTCCTCCGCAGATTATTATCCAAAAACCAGAAATTCCTCAAGTTATTGAACAAAATAAGAAAAAACCAAAATGCAAAGCAGTAATCAACGAGCTGAAAGATAAAGTAAATTCATTAACCACTCAAAATAAAGCTCTACAAACAAAAATTTCAGAACTTTCTCATAAAATTGATGAATCCGACACAGAAATCATCAATTTGAATGCATCAATAACTAAATATCAAAATGAAGCTTCAACAAAATCTAAATTACTTGAAGAATCAGAGGAACAACTCAAATCTCTTCGAAATACAATAACTAGTTCAGATAAAAACCATAAAGATGTTATGAAATCGCACGAGATACAGTTTAAGAAGCAATCACAGTCGATCTCAATGCTCGAAAAGACAAATGAAGTTCTCAAAAAAGAAATTGTTGAAAATCAACTCAAAATTTCTGAATTAGAGCAAAATGTTCAAAAACTTAATAATGAAATTAAGCAAAAAGCCGGAGAGAATGAGAAACTAAAAGATGAAATCAAGAATTTGAACGATGAATTATTAGATGCAAAATTAGAGCTCCAAAAACCACAACCAACAGAAGCAGACTTTGTTCCAGCATCATCATGGAATGTTTCCCACTTTGAAAAGGATCTTCAAGAAAAATTAAACTCAATTATTGCAAATCCTTCATTGAAAGCAGGATCAAAGATACAAACAATGCTTTCATGCATTGCAGATCACCAGCATGGAGTAATTACTCAAATAGAAGATGAATTACAAAAAATTAATATTCAAAATTCGCAAAGAATGTCAACCATCAACAATTTCATTGTTTCTCTTTCAATACTTCTTACAGGAAACTCCATTCCACTCGATTATGTCTTGAAAGGACAAGGAACAGAGCTATTAAATATTATCAAAGACATGCAACAAAAACTTCTTGAATATTCCCATGAAAACGATTCATACAGAAAACAGATTGATTATATCAACAGTTCCTTTGATAACCAGTTCTCTTCTGTTGAAGACATTGCTTCTTATTCAACTTCAATGATTAAGAACTACCAATCACAAATAAACAAGCAGAAGAAAAAGATAAAGAACTTAGAAAGAGCAATTTCGATGTCAGAAGAATCAAATGAAGAGTTGAACAATACAGTTTCAAAACTTAATTTAGATATTGAGCGTCTCAATGCTGAAAAGGAAAATTCCACAAAAACAATCAATAATTTGAGAAAAGACAATCAATCTCTTCGTGAAAAAGTTAAAAATTTGGAACAATCCGAAATCAGCATTTCAAAACAGAACCAAGAAGAAATATCATCAATAGAAGAATCATATATATCTAAAATTAAGGAATGCGAAGAAAACAGAGCCAAAGAAATTCAGCAATTCCAAATTGAACTTCAAAATGCTCTGAAAGAGAACAAATCACTGCAGAAATCACTTGATGAGTATAAAGAAAGAGTTCAAAGCCAGAATTCTTCAATTTCATCCCAGATAGAAACAAAAGAAATTCAAATTAAGAAAGAAAAGACACAAAGCACAAAAATGATAGAAAAACTCGAAATGGAGAAGAAATTAATGAAGGAAAGCTACGAAAGAACAGTTAATGAACTTGGAAAGAAACTCAAGGACTATTCTGTAGAGTTAACAAACCTTAACCAAATAATTTCTGACTTGCAAACTAAATATAATAAAACATCTGACCAATTAACAAAGTCAGAGCTCTCAAACGAGAATTTGAAGAGAGATCTCAAAAATCTTGAAGAGGAAATACAAAGAGAAAAGCAACTTCTTCGGGCATCGACAACATCCCAGATACAGGAATATGAATCAAAACTTTCTGCTGTTACTGGAGAAGAGAAGCTCAAAATTGAAACAGAAAAAAGAAAAATTTTCACATATGCTGCAAGTACACTGAATAATTTATTCTCCACAAATGAGAAATTGGATGAAAGATCATTTAAATCGTTGATTTCCAAGGCAAAAGAAACTATTGACAAGCTCTCAAGCACAGATGCTGCAGTAAGAAGATTGGTGAATGCAGTTCCAGGCCAATCTACTGAAGATGCTGTTGCTCATTTCGTTTGGGAACAGGACAAATTTGCCACACGGCACTTTTTTTAAAAAAAATTAATGGAGCGGAGCGATACTCTGCTGCAGGAGCCCCAAGGCTCCCAATCATTACGAAAGGGAGCCTCAGGGCTCCTGAGAATCCATCAGCAGAGGCCTTTTCATTTGGCCTCTGCTGATCAAAGATTCGGCGAAGCCATTCTTCGTCTCAGGAGCCCCAAGGCTCCCAATCATTACGAAAGGGAGCCTCAGGGCTCCTGAGAAACCTCTTTGAGAAGGTTTTCTTTAAGAAAACCTTCTCAAAGATGATTGTCAGCATTCACTCAAAATCTACCAAGAGTTTCAAAATTTCAAATCTATCTGAAATGAAGCTTTGAATCTCTTGTATATCTAATTGTAGAGGTACCTTTTCAAAATGTCTTCTATTGGTTAAATTTAATCAGTAAAAGTCATTTTGAAAAGGTACATCTCTATAATTGCTATTGAGCATTCACTCTTGGAACCTTGGAGCTCTTGTGTAGTGCTTGAAAACTCCAAGATTCTAGCATAAAACATATATCATAGACATAATTTCTTCAAATATAATTTAAGGTTATTTTTTTAAAATTAGAAAAGCGTAATTTAAGGTTAGTGAAAAAGTGACATCTGGCAAATTTGTCCCGCACTCAATCTATATCTAGTTACGATACAATACAGTTTATTTCATACAAAAAGATGCGAATTAAAATATAAACAAAATATTTTTTTTGCAAATAGACAAATAACAATGGCAAAATAATAATATTGTTGAACTGTAGTGAGCGCTTTATCAAGTCAAAGCAATTTTGTCTTGAAACATTGAATTTGATTTCGATTATCTTAAACAATCAAAAATCTTCAGTAATAACCCATAGGAAATACATATGTTAGTTGAGTGGAAGATGAATTAGTATTTCTAATAAGTCAATTAGATATCAATTTTCGAAAATACGTTCTGCTTCATACAGTCAAGTAATTTAGGGTTCTTATCATGGAGGTACTTGTAAATGATTTTTTTTTGTTTCTCAATGTTGTGTAGATCGTTTCTGACGTCATCATATCTTGTCTGAGCGTTATCAAATGATTCCGCGCGATCACAATCATTAAATGTTAAGTCGAAGAGAAAAATTCTTTGTGATGAAGTAATTTCGTGAAAAGTCATTTTTCCAAAAAATGGAGTAATCGTATAAAGTATATCGATTGATGAGTTTTGGTCTGTTTCAGGGCTGAAAAACTCTGCAAATTCCTTTGGAGATTCTTCAAACGGAATTGACCATCCGATTTTTTCTTTAAGTTCATTAAATCTATCTTCATCGATTTCGCATTTAAGAAGTGTGTAAATATCATAATCAAATGAAAGATAAATTCTCATTAACATCAATTTTTCGCCATTAAAATAACCATAAATCTTAACGTTTGTATGTTCTCTATATGTTTTTGGAGATTTTTCATCACATGTAATTAAAATCATCCCTTTATTCAAAAACATTTTTCTTGATAGATTTGAGGTATCCATCAAGAATAAAAATAACCGGCTAAATGCCAATCGCAAATTAACATTCAGCCATGGAACACATTTTTCTATATAGTATTCAGATTAATGCTCTTTATTTGAATATTATTTTATGAATTCCAATGAAAATGATCCATAACGGGCATACAGCATGCCATCAAGCAAAAGAATCCAGACATAGAAAAATTATTTAAAGATTTTCGATAAATTTTTTATTACAATGAATTAAAGAAAGTGAAAAAACAAAACAGGCCAATTGACATAAAATCAACGGGAATTGATTTGTTTTTAAGCCTTCCTTCCTGGTGTAAGGTTTTCAATGATGATAATGTAAGTATAGGCAATAAGCCATACAAGTGTAGCAACTGTAACATCTAATGTTGCCTTGAAGCTAAAGAAGCAGCCAAGGATTGTAAGCATGCATCCCTTGTACTGAGCGTCGCCCATTTTGAATGGGAAGCCGGAAATAAGTTCGCCGTTGTAAAGACCTAATTCCCATCCGTAGTAGGTTCTGCACATTCCGAGTTTCTTGTAAACGGCAAAGTTGAGAACTTGACCAATGATGATGATCGGGATAGAGAACAAAAATGATTCGAGAAGGAACTCTGATTGAAGGCAAATATAACCATATAAAACAAAGCTAAAGAAATGAGAGTATGATGATGTATCAATCAGAAACTTTTGGGAGCAGTGTTTTAAGAAGTGTACTGGGTTTGTATATGCCCATGTATAAATGACATATGGATAAAGGACTGTCAAAGAGTATATAAGCACAACAATTGGGTGCTGAAATTCCATTATTGGTCAATTAAACATAAATTGAATACTGTATACAATCACATTTCAATAGATAATAATGAAAAATACTATACTCATGGATGCTTGTATTTTTAAGTAGGAAATCTCAAGATATTTTAACCACTTTTTCGAGTAGGGGTAATTTTAGCTAAAAGTGACACGCCTGTAAAAAATAACACACCCGTGAGGGGTGTGATTACCGATCGGTAATTTCGACAGTTTAGAATTTAAAATTTTTTATGGAACTGTTGCGAGTTTCATAAAGAATTTAAGGAATATAAGCAAAGATTTGAATCAAAATCTTAGACCTAAGCCGCTCGATTCGCTCGCGGCTTCCGCGAATTACAGATCAGCAAAGATTTGAATCAAAATCTTCGAACTAAGCCGATCGCTTCGCTCGCGGCTTTCTTTATTATTTTAAATTTGCATATTTCCATCAAAAATTCATAAGGTAAAAAATTTCGTTTATTTTTACTAAGAAAAAAAGGTTTTTGATAATAAATTTATTTTATTTCGAAAAAGTAGCAATAATCGTAAAAGGGTATTGATAGGCTTGCTAAAGTAACTAATTTTAGCTGTCAAATACTTTTGTATTTTGAAGTAAATTAGTATAAATTTGTTTTTACTTTTATTTCGAAAAAGTAACAATAATCGTAAAAGGGTATTGATAGGCTTGCTAAAGTAACTAATTTTAGCTGTCAAATACTTTTGTATTTTGAAGTAAATTAGTATAAATTTGTTTTTACTTTTATTTCGAAAAAGTAACAATAATCGTAAAAGGGTATTGATAGGCTTGCTAAAGTAACTAATTTTAGCTGTCAAATACTTTTGTATTTTGAAGTAAATTAGTATAAATTTGATATTATTTTAACTCCCTTTGAAAACCTCAATTTTCCATACAGAGGGAACGGGAATAGCATCCAATATTCCCTGAGAATGGTTGCGCATTCTCAGTTCCCTCTATATTTCGAACGAAGCTCTCATCGGTCTTTTTTTTTAATACTAAACGTTTTTTTCCCCTGTCACTTTTAGCTAAAATTTGGGTTTGCCCTCTTAAAATCAACCCACACATATAATATGAATTAACTGTAGTGAGTCACATTAAATATATTAACTATTAAGGAAATTATATCAAGTTAAATGTAAAATATATGGAATTAGAGCATTTTTCATTCGAAAATTATCTGTTTAGCACCCTTCTAACGAAAAATAATTTTTGAGCCTGATAGAAATGTTTATTTACTCTAAATCGAGAATTCATATATTCATATGTTGCTATGATAAACATCTGCGTTAAATCCGACATCGTTCTGAAATCATATGAAATAAAAACGATTTTGTTCCTTAGACAATTTTAAGTAATTAAGCCTGCTATGGCATCATGAATGAAATTTTCCATTATGTGATACTTCTTTGAGTAAAGCCAAGAAAAAGAATTAAATGGTTCAAATCGTATTGTCATGACACAATATGAACAATTATGAAAGGTTATTATTTCAATTCTTTCATTTAAGACTGTTTATTTGAGGAAGACATACCTTTTAATCAATACAAACTTTGCTTTATTCATATCGCCTATTGTAAGCATTTAGATAATGTTTTCTATTTTCAACATTTCGAATTTATTGCATAAACTTTTAAATCACAATAAAACTCACACCCAATAGAGTCTTCCAAGCTATCTTCAATTAAGATCTGAGGAAAATTTTTTTAGACTAAAATTTTATTTCTCGAAAATTTTTGCCCATCAACCTAATTTTCTATTATGAGAGGAAAAAATTTTTCTTAACATAAATATAAATGGAAGACTCAAGAGTGTACTGTGATATCTGCTCCGAACCAATCAATATTAGGGTATTGCAGCATTGTGGACACAATGATATTTGTTTACAATGCTATATTAGATATTCTAAGAACTATGGAAACAACTGCTGCTATTATTGTCAGCAAAATAATGATGGCTCATGGCCTATTGCAACGTCAAAATTAAATTTAGACTATGAATCTGCAAAACAATTAAATTTAGAATTTGATGATGCTAATAAGATATATTATACAGATCCAGCCGCTAAGAAGGAAATTAAGAACTTAAATATGTTTAATTGCCATCATTGCCATCATAAATTCCATAATATTAATCAATTCTCAAAGCACTTAGAGAAGCATGGTGAAACAATATGCAGGATATGCCAAGGAAGCGGAAGATTTAATCCGCACTCACTAGAAACATTCACCAAGGCTGAAATCCATAAGCACATTCACCAACATCATCCAAGATGCATTTGCTGCAAGTCACTGTTTTTCGACCAGCACACATTAGCTGAGCACATGAACGAATCACATCAAAGATGCGAAATTTGCGCCAAGAACAATAAAATCATATGGTTCAATACTCCACAAGATTTGATTGAGCACAATGAGAAAGAACACTTTGTTTGCCATCATCAGGATTGTGCTGCTATGCAACTCGTGGCTTTTGCAACAAGAGGAGAATTATTGCTTCATTTACAAAGAGTACATCATGATTTTGATAACGAAATCGATTTCATGAGAGACTTTGAAGTAGAAGAAACTACAACAAATACAAAATCAAATAATTATAGAAGCGAATTCATCAACATTTACAAGAAAAAAGTTTGGGAAATTCTCAAAGCAAAGCCAAAAGTTGAAAAATATTCTTCTGCATTTAATTCATTCATCAAGAATAGAATTAGTTGTGCAGAATTTTACAAACTCTTTTCCGAGTTTTTCGGAGAATCAAAGAATATGATTTTTTGTGACATGATAGCGACATTAAGAGATTCAACAAAGAGAATGGAACTATTCAGGATTCATAATGGAATCAAGGATGAACCATTACCATCTCACAAATTAATTATTGATGAGCCAATCGAAGAAGAAAAGCCATCTATAAAGAAAGTCACAGTCAAGCACAACGATTCTCCACGCAGAAAGAAAGTTGTTCGCGTTATTTCGTCTTTTTGAAATATATAATTTATAATTTTTGTTTGTAAAAGTTTGTTTATATCTCAAAATTTTTCTTAGTTTTTATTTGAAATTCAATTAAATGAAGTGCCAAGATAGGAATATCTGTTTCAACAATGGATAATCATATGAGCTTCAATAAAAATACAAATTATTTTAGAAAATAAATACATTTAAAACAAAATATATAAAAGAAAAGATTATAAAGATTCAGAGAAGAAAAGAGTTTCTCCAAATGTTCTAAAAGTTGCTGGAGCGAATTCAGTGAACAAACTCTTGAAAGTTGTCAATGCGTTCTCAATAACATAAATCACAGACACCTGCATTTCAGGAGTGTTCTTTTCTTCTTCAACAACTTGTCCGTTGCAGTATTTCTCCAAGATGAACTTCAACTGCGGAGATACGTCATTATTAACTTGTGGCTGCTTCAAAATTTTCTCGAAAATAGACAAAACATCTCTGTCCTTCCATGAGAAATCATCCTCGAACCTGACTTTGAATCTGATGTTTATGTCCGGCATGTTTATTGAAGACAAAAAGTTCAAAATGCCTTCAACAGTCTCTATTGGGCTAAACTGTGGAAGATTTAATTCTGGTGTCAAATTTTCTGCAAAAGGTGACATAGCAAAATCTTCTCTCAATCTCGCATTCATTGGCTGCACGTTTGGCCAGATAAAAACGCTTGAAAACAGCAGGAAATTCAACATATTCGGTATATCTTTGTAGTACTGGTCGATGCAGTATTCAACAAACTTTGTGACCACTTTGTCGAGTGAAGTGATCGTCAAACTAAACAATTTCAAAGTCAGAAATGTCTGGACAGGCGAGTTCTGCTTCTTTGAGTTCGGCTTCGTTGACATGAGAAACAGGAAGTGTGAAAAAGTATCAGCCATGTGAGGAATTTGGGAATAAACAATTATAGGAACAATGGCCCACTGATCATCGGTTATTGTAAACCCACAATTCATTGCCATCCAAAGCAGAGCAGTTAGAGATGCTTCTTTCTCTGATGGAGAGAGTTTGAGGGATAGAATTGCGAGCAGGTAAGTGATTTGAGGGAATTCAGTGAAATTCTCGTAAATTTTATCGAAAATAAGTTTTGAAATCCCCAAATTTTCGATTTTCTTTGCGCAAGTGAACATGTAGATGTAGCTTTTCTCTCCTGATATTTTGATCAACAAGTGGATGAACTTCACTGTCTCCTCTATCTTGTTAGACAACTTTTTGACGATCTTCTTCATTGTCAGGTACTTTTCGTTTTCATCTAAAACAATGTCACTTTTAATTGTAAAATCTAACAACTGCAATTTCATTTCATCTTCTATTTCATCGTCAAAGACTTTGTCAAGCAGATACTGAGTACTTTTGGAGTCTATGTAGTGCAGAACAGAATAGACATATAGAATAAATTTCTCTTTGATCTCTAAGTTCTTGTTTTCTGAGAAAAGTGACAAATATTTTTCTAACGAATATTTTACATCGAAAGGTGTCACTTTTGATAAATATCTAATTATGTAATCTAGTATTCTGTTGAAATCTACGCTCTTGTACCAAAGATCTATATTTCCCACGAGTATTCTGAAGAAGTTCTCTTTGATCTCGTTATGTGGCAGGTTGAAGTGGATGTCAGTCAAAATTCTGAATGTTTTGAACGTGAGCATTTCTTCTTTTTTATCGTCGAGGAACTTCCTTATTGTTTCGAACTCAGGACAACCGGCAGCGACAGGAAGAATCATTTTGAGGATGGAGAAGACTCTGTAGAAATCTGTGTCGCTCTCCTTGTTGAAGAAGGAACAGAAGACATCCGCGTATGACGATTCAATCATCAAGTCAAGGATGGTCTGAGAAACAGTAGATTTAGCGAAGGAGACATATTTACTCTCCGGATTTGAGAAATCGTAGAGGGCCTTCTTTCCCTGGATTTCGTAGTAGTTTGTGAACTTCTCTGAGTGGATTTTGATGTCGAAAATGGTGCCGAAACTGGTGTCGTCCTCTATGTATGTCTTAGATGGATTGATCAGGCCGCCGACGATGACTTTCAAGTAGTTTCCGACCATCGGCTGGAAATAGATCTCGGAAACCATCGGAAGTGTCTGTTCCATGAGTTTCGTAATCTTCATGATGTTGTCCTCGGCCTTTATAACGAGAGGAAACTCTGCAACTTGGTTCTGGTTGAGAGATCTCGCCACATTTACGATGTTCTTGGAGTATTTGTTGTCGTTTGTGGCGTAGACCATGCCGTGGTACAGGGAGAAATTGAGGGAACTGTTTTCTTCGTCGATAAATCTGATTAAATTAAATTCATCTTCGGCAAAATGGGCGGAAGTTGTATCTATGTTGAGTTTGAACTCTAGGGAGAAGGAATCATTAACTAGGTTTGTGATTGGCAGCGCCAAAACAAGTTGAACTGGTTGATAACCAATTGAAAACTTTGTATTTGAGTTTCCGATGCAGACAGCAATGGAATCTTCGACTACTTCTAATACTGATGTCGAAAAGCGCCCGTAAAGTGCTTTAGTGAGGATGGCAAGCAAATCCATTTTACATGACTTGATTATCATCCTTTTTATCAGCATGAAACAGTCATCGTATAACTCAGGAGGGATTAGTATCTTGTATTTGAAGAGATCTAGGCTGATGACTTTCTCAGAACCGTCTCCAGTGAAGAAATTTAACAAAACTTGGGTTAATCCGGCATTTGAAAGCTTGTCGATCGAACTTGGCCTCTTCTCTGTTAATTTTATGAAGTATTTGATGATATCTGTGATCCTTGGAGATAATCCAAACGAAGCCAACAAAAATGGAAGGTTCATGTGGTTCCTTACGTCTCTCAGGCAATCAGAATCGAATTCTCCGTATGAAACGCACTTATATATCTGTCTGAAAATGAATTCTGGAGGATCATCTCCATATTGTTTTTTCAGAATTGGAATTAACGTTTCGAGCTGGAAAGGAGAGACACAGAAGTCATTACTGGACTGAGATAAAACCATTATAAAGTCTAATATCTCAAAAAGTTTCTGATGAATCGCACATAAAGTGATATACTTGTCCAGAATGTGGACAAAGTGGCGTAACAACAGTGGCTGATGAATAATCGACAGCTTTAACGCGTTGAAAATCTCCAACGCCAAGTTTATGTACTCTTCATTATTTTCTGTTTGGGCTCCGATGCAGGCATCTATGACTGTGTTGAGGGCTGTTGCGAACTGGAGTAGATTGGACAGGGTAACGAACGTGGATAATGAAACCTGGATGGAATTTAAGATATCTTTCTGGGCAGAACGGTTGAAAAGCAATTCCATGAACATTCCCACGCACAGTTTCGAACTAAACCACGAATTAGCTGACTTATGGTCGGTCGCGAGGAAGATTAAGAAGTAAAAAACGATATCTTTTGCCGCATTATTAATAAGCATGAGCTGGTTGAGCGATTTCTTGAGAATAGATATATTGTCATCGTCAATCATCAAACTGAAATCGACTTTCGATATGTCCCCGTGTCTCAATCTGCAAATGAACTCAGCGACTAAGTAAGGAGTCTGCGAAAACCGCCTGAACAGGTCAATGACAAGCTCTGGATGGTTACGACATACTAAATCGAATAAAATTGATCTGGCATAATCAATATCTGGATCAATGAACTGGAATATGTTCTGTTTGGAGCGGACAGCGTATGATTCGGCTACAACTGAATACGCGTTGGGTATCGGATAGTCGATAGAAACAATTTTGAAAATAATTATTAACAAACAAGAGAAAACATTCATATTTTCAATGTTTTTGATCTTGTAGAGCTTAAGAGCTGATGCAAAGAATATGTCTCTGTATACGTTTTGCGAGCAAATCAATCCATTAGCGACAATTGAAACGTAATCCATAATTTCGGAGTCATTAAACGAAAAAACTGTGGAGAACTGGAAGGAATCGATACTGGAGAAGTCAAAAGGTAAGTCATAAAAAACAAAGTCCTCGTTTTTTCGCTCTTTATTGTTAAAACTTTTCATTATTACTCGTTTTTTAGCTGGAGGGTCACGAGGAGGTATCTTTGAGTATAAGACGTTTGGTAAGAACTGGTAAATTGACGCAATGATGTCCATTGGCGCGTATGGATTTAAATATGCAATAAACATGATGAATTTCGGGTTCAAATCATTCAGAAACCCTGTAAAACACTGAACTATCTTGCATAAATCGCTATTAATTAGATTATTTTTCTTCTGAGATGCATTTAACATTAACATAGAAATAAGGCGATTAGATATATCTTCGCTCTTCGAAGACCACGTAAAAACGTATTGTGTTAAGATTTTCGATGTTTTCTTTGTTAAAATCTGTGTCTTTTCGAAGAAATCAATTACATCGCAAATTACTTCATCGGAAAACTTCGGTTTTTTGCTATTTATTGCGTAGTTTAGTACTTTCTTAATCGAAAATTCGAGCATATAATGCATTGAAGGGACTTTTCTCTCTAATGATAAAGTTGTTTTGATAAAATACTGAAATTCTTCAAGAGTTCCTTTATATTTAGTGTCGTATGACCATTCTAAGCATTGGAGAACAAAGACAGTGAGCTCTGTCATTGATGAATAATTTGATTCAAGTAAAACAACAGGAATTGGCTTAAACAAATCGGCATTGCAATTTATTTTCATTCCGTACTTAAGGAGGATCTTTCTACCTTTCTTTTTCGCCTGCAAATCTGCGTTTAATTCGAATTTCTTATTTTTATCAAGAATTGGAACAAGATAAATTGGCGTCCACTTCACATAGTCTCCTAGCCCGTTAGGGAGACTCATCAATCCTTCGGCCAATTCAAAAAATTGACCAAGAGGATATGAAGAGTGAAGCATTGATTTTTTTTTTTTTTTTTGAAATGCAGAAACAAAGAAAAATATTCTGCATTGTAAGACAGATGATTTTTAATTACGAAATGGCTACTTATATGTCATAACACAGTATTTTTCTGTAAAAAAGGTTAGATGACAACATTTCAATCCGATGCCTGTAATAATTTTGTTGGATTCGCTTTTACCATTTGTCATTCTAATTCAATTTCGCTACATGATATATATTAACAATTTCTCCAACAAATCAGGCTTTATAGCATAAATCATGTTTCCGAAATTTATTTTGTCACTTTTTTGATTTTTTTAGTTTTTTCAGAAAAAAAAGCTCCGATCAACTAGAAGCTGAAATTGGGCCAAGTTTTAGTGACCTTAAGCCTCTTGAAATGTTTGAATATCCTAATCGAGCATCAAATCTAATATGGGATATAAATCCTGATAATTTTTTACAAATAACTTCGCAAATTGTCAATTTAATCAAAACAAACAAAATAGCTGCCGAATTAGCATTTTACCTGATTGATGTTTTTTCATCAATTCGTTTTAAAGATATTAAATTATTAGCAGATCTTTATCAAAGAATTTCAATTGAATTTTCGCACATCACCATCAAACCAAGAAATGAGAGATTAACAACATTACTATATTATAAAGGCATGCATTTTGAAAATTTCGAACCTGAAATGAAAGATATTCTCAACATATTTCCAACAAATTCTATATCGCACTACGTTGCATGGGACAAAATTGATGAACTGAAAAATAAATTCCCAACTATTAATCCTCAGTATGTAAATCAAAAAATGTTTCCTCTTGATTGCGCAATTAAATTTGGATCAGAGTTGTGTTTCAACTTCTTGAAAAATATCGGTGCAAAATATACCAAAGATTCCGAAAAATTTGCCGTCCAAGGAGGAAATGAATATATTTTCATGCAAATGATAGAAGATGGTAAGACGTTTGATGGCTTGATCAACATGGCATTGAAATATCATAATTATCAAATTGCTGATTATTTAAAAACTGAATTCGGACAAGAACCTAATTCAGTGGCACAAAGCATGCTTTATGGAAATTATGGAGTTGCCTCATATCTACTTTCGAAAGGTTCATATTCCAACGAGTATTATGGAATTCTCTTTATTTTCACATTCATCATTACTTCATACAATTCTTTTTCATTATATCAGATTTCCTAGCTTTTTAGGTTTATCATTGTTATATAAGATTCATTATCATTTCATATTTTTAATAGCTTTATGACATCTATCATTATATTATTATATTCTCTTCCTTCTTATATTTATTATTGCTTAATTTCATTCTCTTTCATTTCATATTTTTCATTTTTTTATACGATTCTCTTTCTTTTTATATTTATCATTATTCCATAGCATACTCTTTCTTTTAATGTTTATCATTGGGTTATATAATTCTTTATCATTTCATATTTACCATTAGTTTATAAAATTCTCATCACTTTCATATTTATCATTAATTTATAAAATCTAATTTCTTTTCACATCTATCATTGTTTAAATGAATTCTGCATCTTTTCATATTCAACATTTGTTTTATTATTTCAAGTGCAATATACTTTAAACTTTTTTACTATGAACATCTGCGCCATTCGATCTGAGAAATTCTGCAAAATCTGAATGATTGAATCTTAATGCCTCATCAAGTGGGGTCGCCCCATTTTCAGATTTAATATTAACATTAGCTCCGTGTGATATGAGTAATTCTGCTATTTCTATGCAATTAGTAAATGCTGCATCATGAAGCGGTGTATAAAAGGACTCATCATAAGCGTTGACATCTGCTCCATTAGAAAGAAGTACTTCAGCTGTTTCTATGCTATATCTCATAACTGCTCGATGAAGAGGAGTTTCTGATTCAGTATCTCTTGAATCAATTATTGCACCGCGTGAAATAAGAAATTGTGCTACTTCTGCCATATTTAGTTCAGCTGCAGTATGAAGAGCCGTTGAACCATCATTATAATTGACATCAGCACCATGATTAAGCAAATATTCACAAAGACTTGGAAGCCCAAAACAAGGAGACATAACGAAACAACCAATCAAATCATTCGTTCGATCTAAATATCCAAAAAATGCATGAAGATTATAATATTCGCAGCAAGACCACAAACTGAATAAATCAATTTGGTTCATCAAAAAAGTAATAAAATCTATGTTATGAGAAGCAATGGCATAATCAGTGCAATCTTTGTCTATTCGTTGGAATTGCAAACACTCGTTCATTATGTCTGGTTTTCCACCTAAAAATGAAAATTTAAGACATGTCGGAGTGATTTCAGCATTCAATTTTGAGCGCAGGAGCTTGAAAAACTCTGATGAACCATGATAACAACATAATTCAAGTAAAGAAAGGCCTCTTCCGATATAAGGGTATAATTCGTTTGATGTATTTTGATCTTTATCAAATCCTTCTTGTTCTGTGAACAGTATTAGCGCATTGACATCATTATCCATAATGGCCTTGTAAATAGTGCCTTCTTCATGAATTTCAAAAGAATATTTTTCGGTTTCGTATTTTTGAAGGTATTTTTCGTTTTCCTGATTTAATAAAACGCCATATTCCTTGTAAATGAAGTAATCGTAAACGCATTCAAATTCACTGATATATTTTGGGTGGTATTCTTCGTATAACTTTTTAAAAATGGACCAATATGATTTCAAGTACCGGTTATTGAATTTTGCTGCTTGGAATATAATATTTGTAAGCACAGATGCTGAGCATATTCTCGGTTCAAGAATAATCATTTTCAAATTTTCATAAATCTCGCTAATTTCATCATCATCGAATGTACTTAGCCTAAACAACCGAGTTGATATATCATCATAGTTCTTGAATAACACCATCAGCTCGTGAAAATTGCATTTTTCCATTCGAAATAAAAAGACATTTTTATTTTGTCGAATATTAATCTGTAAAGAAAGCTCCAAACAGAAATTGCGAACATCTCTCGTCAAAAGTTTTTCCAGACTGGATAATCAATATAAACTACTCTCCAGAGAAGGAATTGGAGTCTGTGAAAAGTTGAACAAGATTAAATTCATGAATTTAATCTATCTCTTGAAGAATGACCAGATTAAGCTGCAAAACAGTATTTTACTTTACGAAAAACTTGGAACAATCAGATTCACAGTTTCAAATGAAGAAAACTTGAGAATAGAGTGCGGAGACAAGTCTTTGGACATTGTTCCAAGTTTCTACATAAATAACCAAGTTTGCACTGTTTTCTTTGACAAATCTGTTTATTCTGTTTCTAGTTTTGCGACTGGATACATCAGAGTTCTTTCTGACGGAAAGAGATTTGTTTTCAAGTCGAATTTCGAAGGACCTCCTGATATCTTCAAAATCCCTGCAGAGGCAAGTAACGTTATTTACGAATTCAGCAAAGCTCCGACACCAAAAACTCCTTCTCCGACAAAAGCTCCACAACCTGAGCCAAGTAACTCAAGTTTCTTCTTGGGAATGACAATGAAACAGACAATTTGTTTGTTGTTCATCATTGTTGATGTTGTAACTATTATTGCTTTGTCTTCGAACTTAATTTATGTCTACTTCTACAAGTTTGAAGAAATGGTATATCCAAGCAGATCTTCATCATTGTATTCAAACGAAGGTCTTGGTCTTATGGATGAATTATAGAGAATAAAGTTTATTTTATATTTGTTTTTATGAAAACAAAAAGTGATTTTTTTTTCTAACAGAGTAAAACGATACTAACAAAAGAAGTTATTAAAGAAAAATGTAATAAACTCTTGCACCATTTTGGGAGAGATGATTCACCTTACGATGATCTCATTAGAAGAGTAATGCTTCACAATTTTCTGAGATAAATTCAAATTTTAATAAGAAACCCATAAATTTCTATAAGAAATTCCAAATATAGAGCTCAAATTAGTTATAAATTACAACATTAATATAACTTTATTCAAATACAAACAAAGTCTATAACAATCCTTGTGTTACATCAGTCTGTGATATCTCAGCAGACATGAAAGAATTGATGCTATGCTTCTTATGCCATTTGATGACATAAAAAGTAAGTACAACAATCAAAAGAATAAGTACAATAACAGAAACAGGTAAAACAATAAAGAGGGTCAGATTCTTTTTCGGAGAAGGAGATTTCGGATCTGGTTGTCTCTTCTCGAAAGCGAAACATTTATGATCTCCTCTATCTCTGAGTACTAAATCAAACACCCTTGTTTTACTATCGAACTGCCAGTGATCTGATATATAAACAACCTGAAAATCTTTGACATTTGAATGATTGAAACAAACAACATCGATTGAAATGTTCTGTACCATATCATCAACGAATAACTGTTCTGAAGATACTATATTTAAGCAATGAATCTTCAATTTCTCGTTTCTAACTTGAAGATTTTCGATATACAAAAATGGAACTTTGCTAAGAGAAAAATTGATATATAAATTAGATAAATTCTCAATACCTCTGAATTTGCTGTATGTTTGGTATTCTAATATCAAATTACTTGTCGTAATTTCGTCATTTGTTTCTTGTGTCACTGAATTTAGCTCGAGGTTACGCGGAACTATAGTGACATTATTATTTTTCTTGTAGGATGCATGTAAATCCAGATAAAATGGGGAAACGTGAAGAAAAGTTTTGGTATCAGAGCTTATTTCTGCCTTTTGGTGAAAATATAACCTATTCATCGTATAATGTTCCTTTGAATCAAAGATGCGTGATGCATCATAAATGCTTAATGAGTTCGGGAGTTTGCCGTCAATAAATTTCGTAAAAATACCATGGCAATTTCTAAATGATAATGGGGAACTTGTTTGTTGGTAAAAGTTCATGTCAAATTGGCCAATGGTTTTTAATTCGAGAACAAATTTGTCGAATTTCGAAACGTTTATAGACAAATCGAAATTTCGCTGGATATGAAACACACATTGTCCTATGTTTCTATGGTTTATCACACTTTGATCATAAAATATTGTTTCTTCTGTTAAATTTATGAAATTAAGTGGATAAAGCATCATTTTTGTGCACTTTAAAGAATATATGTGATTTTCCCCATCTATAATAATAATTTCATCAGTTGTGATATCAGATGTCCCATCAATTCCAGAATTACAAAATTCCAATTTTTTTACAGAAAATCTGGAATTAATTAGACTAACATTGCTAATACTTAAACTATATAGCATCGATGAATCCGTTAACATTATTTTTGTTTGATAAGCGCATGTTATAATCAAATTATTGCAGAAATTTGAAAAGTTGGAAAGATAAATGATTGGGCTGTAGCTGGACAAGAATGATAACTCTAATGGAGTTTTCGAGAAGACAAGGTTCCTTTGTATTTCGTCTAATTGTGATAAATGATCCGAAATCGAAAATTGTCTGTTTGATGGAAGACTTGTCATATAATAAAGTCTGTATTTATATTCATAATGGTTCTCAAATCGGGATTCAGTGAGTTCGAATCCTATAATTCTTCCGGATTTAGAATTAAATGGAGAATTTAGGATATCAAATTCATTGGCTCTTTTGTATAAAACAAAGTGTATTCATGGCCGATATATTGATCTGATTTATGTAAAATTTGTGTTTTGAAGTTTAAAATCGAGTTTGCCTTAATTAAATGATTTTCGTCATTTTGAATAGCGATTGATGGCTTCTCACCGATTCCCACAATACTGTCAAATACAATGGTGGAGTTAACAACTATAAATTGATTTAAATAAATTGGACCTGAAATTATTTCGCAAAAGGGAACATTAATCTCTAATATTTCTACGTTCATTGGAGTGCGGCCCAAATTAACTGTAGTGTTGCCGGATGAATTTATGAAAAGGGCCGAAATTATTATTTTTGAGTCGTCAGGAAAATCAAAAAAGACGTTTCCTTGGAGTTGAAAGTACTGAAATTCTATAAAATCCTTAAATGAGCTAAGCCGAGTTGTTGAATTTGGATCCATGATGTATAAACTTCCTGGAAATTGTTTGGAATTGATTATGTAGTTGCAATTACCGTACTGATAGAAGTTGCAATGGAATAAAGATAAGTTCCACATTGACTTTTGGATCCGAAATTCTGTATTTTTATAAAATTTAAATTCATAATTTAATGTATTTAAAAGTGATGAAATAAAGATGTTTGTTAAACTTATTATCAAATTTTCTTTAATGTTGAATGTAATTGTTGATCTCATATCAGGGTCTAAAATTAAATATTTTATTTGTTGATTTGGAAGCGTTGTTGCTATAGTAATCTTATTTCCAACGAGTTCAATTGATGAATTGCTTTGAATATTGTTAATGTTTGCTGGAATATTTGTTTCAACTTTATAAATTATTCGATTTTCGGGAGAATTTATAAAGCTTTCATGATCAATATTCATTTTTTGGTCAGTTGCCTTGAGGTTTGACCTCAGAATATCAATTGAAGCTAGGTCTTCGATAAAAAGTTGGTATAAAAAGCTCATTAAAAGTTCTAAAAAATTGAGAAAAGATATATTCAATTGTTTGAATCAATACGATGTTTATGAACGGCCGAAATTAAAAGTATAATTGATCTATATCACTCCTCTGGAATTTATCAAAATAATTTTTAGGGGGTATTATTATTGTCGTCTGGCGGTTTTAGACGACAATGCGAATTTTCAAATAATAGGATTTTTAGCCAGATAAAGAGCTACTCCATATATCATGCGTGTTTGCATACTATATACATAGATGGAATTGATGTTCTTCCTTTATTTAGGTACCGAAACATGCTTGAAAAATCTATTTTTTAGACGACAATGATAATTTTGTCACTTTTCCAGACGACAATAATAATTTGTCACCTTTTTAGACGACAATAATAATTTTGTCACTTTTTCCAGACGACAATAAAACATCCTCAATTTTTAGACTTATTAATTTGAAAAATATAAAAATACTTAATTCAAATTCAGAATATAATGTCGAATAAAAGTTGCACAATCAAAATTTAGAATTCAAAAAATTTGAATAGTATTCAATAAATTTTGAATAATAATTAATTCGATCGATTCACTCAACCATCATTCATAAAGAACTTTTTTACACGTTTATTATTTTATCGATCTGACTATTTTTATAATATAATTAACTTCAGATAATAATAGATATTTCCTCTAATTTGGTTCAAGTCGGATCACAATTTTCAACTTCTTGAAATAAAACCTTAAAAAACATAAAAGATCTTCATTGAACGTCATTTAGCAGAAATTTATCAAATTTATAATCTTGGAAACGATATCGTATCAATTTTAACGGTTGAGATTGCATTTGCTTCAGATCCCTTGCTAGACCAATTTTAGCTACGGATTTATAGTAATTGAACACAAAATAGTTGATCATGTCTATGATAATATGATTTCTGATAATGCCCAATTTCTCAAAATCAGTGAGACTGTACCATCTTGATATACAGCCTTTACGACTAAAACAGCAATTTAGTATGTTTATCGTATACTTGTTTTGTGGACTTATCTGTTACTTATGGTCAATATACGAAAAAAAGTTTTTTTATTGAATAAATTCTACTAAATGCTGATGTAATTATCATTATCATATCAGTTTCCAAATGAATGCCCCAGTTTCTGGTAATCGATCCACAAAGGTTACAAAATATTTAATAAGTTTAAAAAATTAATTAACCATTTATGCCTAATGAAATTACGAACAAATATTTTAAATGATTTCAAACATATTTCGAATATTTTTCTCTATTACATGGTTCAAAAATGTAATTGAATTTGCCTGAGAACGAGAATATAAATTAAGCCTCTCCTTGATCTAATTGTTGCATAATTTGTTCACGGGCTTGCCTAAGAGATGTTAGTGGATCTTCAGGATCGATATCGATTTCTAGTTTAGATTCCTGTGGAAAATCTGTACTTTCCTCAAATGTATCATTTAGAAGAGCACTAAATCTCTGAAATTGGTCTTCAGGAAGAAGTTCGCGAAGATCTTCAATAAGAATTTGCCTTGAATGGTTTCTTTCTTGATATTTTGTGCCAAATTCTCTTATTGAATTTATTAGATTTGCTGATTCTTCCTTGAGATCTTGGAGCTCTTGCGAAAATGCTGTAGCTTCCATCTCAATTTTTTTTTCTAGATAAACGTACATCGTTGTATACTTATATATTTACAGTTGTATTGCTTTATCAAGAATTCAAATGTCATTTAAAAATTTAGCTTATTTGGCCTTTGAAAACGAATATTTGAGAAAAATATTTAATCTTTTAAACTGTTTTCTTGATTTGATTGGTCGAGAATCATTTTTAACTCATACTTGATTGATTTGTAGTTAGATTTTCAGAATAATTAAAATGTTGGTGAAATTCACAATTTCAACGCGCCCATCTGGACATTTTACTAATTGTTAGAACAAATATCATCTATTAATACCGATGCATCTTGAATATGCTCTATCATGCCTTAGACGTTTAAAATATGATTTGAATGGATAAAAAAAAAGTCTGTATTCAAATGTTTATCTTTTTGTAAAGATTTTATTTGAAAAATATCTGACATTTTATGCAGAAATCAGCATTTGATGCTGTTGCTGCTTCAAACAATATCAAGAAATACATTGACAGTAAGATGTTCTACTGCACATTTGATTTAGATCAAATATTTCAAATTCTTCGTGTTGCCAAACTAACAATTGAGCAGGCAACTGCAATAATGCAGCAGTCTCAGGATAAATACGGCCCAGCAGATGCATTCAATATCTTTAGACATTGTAATGTTGAACTTGGAACCGATAGTAATAAGATTTTGGACTATTTTGAGACATTATACAAAGTATTAAAAGCAAGACCGTTCAGACATATGTTCAACTACATTAGCGATCTTGCAGATAAGTCAAATCTAATGGTTGAATCCGCAATAGAAAAATGCGAATTTAATCTTCTGAAAAGTCAACAAACTTCAGCGAAATCATCACCCAATAAGAAAATTAATAATGAATCTAAGAGCCCCAAAGGAAAAAACTCTGGAAATTCGATCGAGTCAAATAATGAATTACAGGAATTGAAAAAATCTTGCTCAAATAAGGATGAAGCTATAAGAAATCTACAAGAGGAGCTCAGACAGAGAGAAAACGCCATATCTGAGAACAAAAAATTGATTATTGAGCTCCAAAACTCGATCACAGAAGCCAATACAGAGCTAAATCTCAAGACATCTAGATTAACAAAAGTTGAAAAAGCAATAAAATACCTAGATGTTGAGTTGAAGAAAAAGGAAGCCCAAATCAAATTCCTTCAAGAGCAAAGCGGAGCAGCTATGAATAGATTACAAGGAGATGATACAAATCTTCTTGAATTACAGCAATATCAGCCAATTAATGATGATCATGAGACTTTTGAATCTGTTTTTAATATAATAGATAGGAGTTGCAGCAACAATGATTCAAGTGCGATCACATATGCCATAGTAAATGGATTCTGTGATATTGCGTTTGGCCAAAACACGATTTTAAGTTTCGCAGCTCAAAATTCTAAACCTTACATGATTGAAAAATTGAACAACTCTGGTTACACTATATTCGAGAAGGAAAGTGCTTTATCTTCCATTGTTTTTGGCTTTTGCGTAAGTGATTGCATTGATGGCATCAAGTTTATTTTCCAACATGTTGATGTCAATAGGAGATATCCATCATTCCGCAACAATACTCTATTAAACATTGCTGCCAAAATTGATGCGATAAACATTGTTAAGTATCTTTGTTCCATCAAAGGAATAGAGGTTACAGCGAAGGATGATGATGGAGACACTTCAATCCACTGGGCTGCAGAAGGAGACGCTTTGAACGTCATGAAATATCTTGCTCAGCTGCCAAATATCGATTTGAACATGAAAGATAAGTTCGGAGAAACACCTTTGCACAGAGCTTGCATCAGCTGTTCTTTGAATGTCGTTAAATATCTCTGTAGTCAAGTTCAGGTGAGAGTGAATGAGAAGGATAAGAAAGGAAACACTCCACTTCATCTCGCTTGCCAGTCAGGAGAAGAATGTTATGAAATTGTGAAACATCTCTGTTCTGTAAAAAGAGTTCTCAGAAATGAGAAGAATTTGGATGGTAAAACACCATCTTCGTTGTCATCAATTGATAATGTCAAGAAACTTCTTTCACCAAAACCAATCAAAAGATAAAAATATTTATTAATTTCACCAAGAATAAATAATTTCACCTTCTTGCTTTATTGAGCATTGTATCTTTTTCACCCATCTACTCTTTATAGTTAGTATATTAATTATTTCAATACAGACAGTTTCAATGAAATGTTAATTATTATAATTATGGGAGCGGTGAAACATAACTTTCAGAAAGGGTTCTAAGTGAAGCTGTTATTGATTTCTTTTAAATAATCAATGTTTATAGTAACCAATTGCATACAATAACACAAACAGCAATTTGATAGTTATTAAGTTATATTAAACTTATGAGTAAACCATAGTGATTGAAAGTTAGTATATTGTTGGCGTCAATTAATGGAGATATTTTTGAATTGAAAAAAATATCGTGAAAAACAACATTATTATGATAGAAATAGATTTACTCCAAGGAATCATTAATACATTTTCGGCAGTGATGACTTATAATACTATATTTGGTATAAAATCTTCTTAAGATTTAGTGACACTTTTTGCAGCACGTTTTTTATAAAAAGATATGAATAGAAAACCTGTGCCTAGGGCTAATCTTTCTGTCCTAGACAGGTTTGTCCCCGAAAAACCACAAAAATCTAGCAGATCTGCATCTGAGGCTCAAAAATATTTTGCCAAAAAAGAATTACCGCCATTAGTTTCATATGAAACAGCCGGACAAGATAACAGGCTTCAAAAACCTATTACAAAAGACATTCATGACTATAATCCCGATGATCCAATGATTAAAATCGGTGAAGTTACTGATAGAATTGGAGCTGTTGTAAAAGGTTACGAAGCTTCGCAAGATGAAGCAAGATTTAAAGATATGCAAACGCTCGACATGCAATTTAACGTCCGATCTTTAGATTCAAAACAAATTCTTGACGAATCGAAATCTATTGTTGACGAATTAATTAACAAAAACAAGGAATTAAAAGACAATCAGTCTACGCAATTAACGGATATAAGTACTTGGCTTAATGATCAGAAGTCTAAGCTATCATCTGACACTGCTAGCAGCGAAACAGCGAATTATATCGATCCTGCATTACAAATTGCATCGGAAGAAGCTGTTACAGCCCTTTCTAATGATACAGTTGGTATGCATGATAAAGTTAACCGAGTTATGAAGTTACACAGCGAATTCGCAGCGAAAAGTTATTTAAATATTCATCAAATGGAGATTGCTTTACAGAAAAAAGACGCGCAAATTAAAGAATTAATGCAAATTAACGAAAGCCTACAAAATAATGCCGCTCATAACAACAAAAGAAATAAAAATCAGCCGAATAAGGATATGAAAAAGAAATTAGATCAATCACTCGAGAAAATTGCTCAACAAGAAGAAATGATCAAGAGCCTAAACGCAAGAATATCAGAACTTATAGGTAAATCCGTTATAATAAATACAGGAAACAATTCTCAGCCAACTGGTGATGATAATGGGGCATATCAGCACCAGCAAGCTGCAGCATACCTTACTGTTAAGCTCGAAGAGTCAGAAATGCTCGTAAACAAGCTAAAAAATCAAATTACAGATTTACAACACGAAATTGAGATAAAAGAAATGGAAAAGTCAATTATGAATACTCAAATACTCGCATTGAATGAAAGAATCGATGCTTTATCAACCAAAAACGAGAATCTCCTAAATGAATTAATTATTGAAAAAGATAGCAAGCAAAACTCCGAAAGATCACAGAATACAGAGCGTTCTACCATGGAAGACCTTTTCAAGAAGAAGATAAAAGAGCTTGAAGCCGAAAACAACAAGTTACAAGAAGAAATGACGAACAAACTCAAAAACAACAACCAGGAATACAAGAAGCAGCTGAAAGAAATACAGAGAGAGTACGAACTGAGGGAAGTAGAGGCGAGAAACCAGTTGATGAAGTCAGCAGCATCAGTAACAAACAACGACGCCCTGATGAAATCAGTTGAACAAAATTTCCAGAGAAAATTCGAAATTTTGGAAAAGCAGTATCAGGATAAAATGCAGAGAATGGAAGAAGAGAACAAAGAGAAGTACAATGCAATGCAGCAGAACTATCTAGATGAGATAACACGTCTCAAACACTCGTTAGATTCGAAGTTGTCTGACAACGAAGCGACGAAATTGATTTTTTCGCAGTTGGAAGAAGAGAAAACGAAGAGAGGAATAAAAGAGGCTGAACTCAAAGCAGAGTACGCAACGAAACTAGAGAATGTGCAGAACGAGTTCAGAAGTTACATGGAGAAGCTGGAAGCGTCAAACAAAGAAAAAGACGACCAAATTTTCAAATTAAAACAAAACTTGGAAAATTCTGAAAATAAAATTTCAGATTTGAACTCACAAATCGAGAAATTGTCTGTTTTCCAGGTACAAAACAATCCTCCTCCTGTAACAGTCGTTGAACAAGAAGTTCCTAAAGAAGAACCAGAAACAAACAACACAGACATAAACAACGCTGTTTTGAAGGCGAAAAGAGACACAGAAAGTCAATACATAAAGAAACTGGCCCAACAAAAGGACACAATGGACAAATACTACCAGGCAGAACTAGACAAACTAAAGGAGCAACTAGGAGAACTAAAAACTAAAAACACTGCAAAAGAAGAAGAGAATTCCAACTTAAGAGAATCAATTGTTAATTTACAATCTCAGTTGCAACAGAAAGACGAAGACTCCAGTTTTACTGAAGAAATAAATCATTTGAAAGCTGAAATAGACAGACAGAATGACGAATACCAGAAACTACAAAGCCAGAAGATGAAATTGGAAGTAGATAATGACATTCTCCAGAAATCTTTGCAGGCAAAAGATGACGGACAAATGTTGACTGATTTGACAGAAAATTTCAGAAAATCAGTTGAAGAACTGCAAAACACGAAAGATGAATTGGAAGCATACAAGAAGAGATACAAAACAATACAAAAGATACACATGGACTCATTAAACAAACCAAAGACTTTGTTGGAACTGGATTTCGAATATATTTTCAACTATTACGAGCCAATTATTCCTCAGCCTGCACAAGAAGTCATTGTCAAACAGATAAATGCACAAGAACAGAGAGAAATAAGACTTTCTCTGCAGAAAGAAATTGTAGCTCATTACGTTCCAATTAAAAAGAATTTGGAGCTTTCTGAATACGAAAACAATATCAATTTGTTGCATTCGTATACAAAACTTTCTCTTTCTAATGAAGTAATAAATACAGACATAGAAAGAAAATCTCCAGAGAAATCATCAAGAAAAACTCCAGAAAAATCAGAAAGAAATACTCCAGAAATTTCTGAAAAACCGAAAACCGTTTTGACACAATCAGATTCTGTTGAAATTTTCCAAGATGAAGACAAAGAGCTTTCATCGACAGACACTCAAACAGATGCACTCAAACCAGAGATAATCGAGAAAGAAAAGATTGTAGAAAAAGAGAAGATAATAGAGAAAGAACCGCAAATAATAGAAAGAGAAAAAATAATTGAAAAAGAGCCGCAAATTATAGAAAAAGAGAAAATTGTTGAGAAACTTGTTGAAAGGCCCGAAGTTCCTAAACAAAGCGTTGCTGTTTATGTTAATTTGATTGGAAACAACTCTAATTTGTCATTGGAAACTCAGCCAAACATCGAAATCTTTGCAATCAATGAAAACGGAGAAATAACTCCAGAAATTCCTCCAACAATTGACCCAGAAATTCCAGAATTACCTGAAGAGAAACAGCAGATAGAGATGCAGATAATGACAAACGAAGGAACTATCATTGACATTCCAACAGTTGAAGAAATCACTGAAGAAACAGATCACGCTGCAGTTGCAACAGCTTCGATACAAAGAATCGAAGAAACTAAAGCTCTTTCGAAGAAACTGGCTTTGGTTGTATCAGAACTGCAAGCAATTGAAGAAGAATCAGATCCACAGAAGAAACTACAAATGCAGAATTCCATCGGCGTCACTTTGGACATCGAAAAAGATTCTTTGATTTCCCAGATGAAAGAAAGAATTTCTGAGTTGGAAGAGATGAATAAAAGACACATCGGATCATTATCTATCGAAACAAACACAGAACTCAACGTCAACAAGTCTCCAACTCCTGTTTCTTCTTCATCTAAGCGCCCTCAACTTTCCATCACATCAAACCAAATCGAAGTAACAAATCAAATTAATGAAAAACAAAATGATTTTGCTAATGAAAAAGATGTTGTTGTTAGGAATGATGTGATGACTTCTCCAAACAAGATGATGAGAACTCCAACAGTGAATGAGTTAGTTGAGAATGAATGCCAAGTAAAACCAGAAACAGATGAAGCAGTGACGCAAACTCAAAAACAGGAAGAAGTAGAGAAATTGGATAATGTTACACAGACACAGAACTTGTTGCAAACAACAAATGTGTCAATACAAACAGAACAAGAGAACATTCCAAAGATCAAAAGTGTTTTCTACGCTTCTACAATGGAAACACAAACAATGAAACCAGAAATTTCTCTTGAAGACACAGGAAACACGTTCTCCGTAGAAGAAAAACAGAAAACAGATGTCCAAATCAACACTGATGTTGTAGAGAAAGTTGACATCGGTTTCTCAGTGGAAGAAATGCCGAAACAAACAAGAAAAACAATAAATCTCGAGAAAATCGAAAACGTTAAAAGAAAAATCCGTTCAACAATAGAGAAAACTGCTAGCTATACAATAAATGTTCCAAAGAAAGATGATCCAAGAATCGAACAATTCGAGACACAGAGGAAACAACTAAATGAACTGAAGCAACAACTAGTAATGTTGCAAGCTGCAAAAGCAACAGAACTCAAGCAAACAGTTGATGAAATCCAGAAAACACTGAATGACGCAGGAAACTCGATGACAGAGATTGCAAACAAAGGAATACAAATGAAGAAGGAAGAGAAAACGAAACAGATGACAATGAATGCGAAAAACGCAATAGAAAACGCTCAAAACATAACAAGATTGATTTTGGAAAATACAAAATCAAAGTTGGGATCGCAATTACAATTAGTTGACAGTTTCACGAAAGTTTCAACTGATAAACTTATAAATACGCAGAAGTTGAATGACCTGTCATTAGACTTATCTCAAAACGTTGTTGACATGAAGTCAGAGCTGATGACAACAGAACAATTAGATACAGCATTTAGTACAGCTGTTAAACAAGTACAAGAACAAGAAAAGGAAATTCTCAAATTACAGAAAGATTTAGAAATTGCAAAGAAAGCACAGAACGAACCAGATGGAGCCCAATTAGTAAGAAAGGCTCAGGGAGAATTGGAAGAATTGTTATATGGAAATCCGAACAAAAACAAATTGTTTAATTCCAATGAATCAGCGATGAAAGTTATCAACGAAATTGCGAAAAGATCTAAAAACAACACGTTGATACAAGCTGTTGGAGCTTCTTTGATTCTAGATAACGTTGAGAAAATGACTGAAAAAGAAACCCCTCAGCCCCAAAACATTTACAATTCACTGACAAACGTCATTGAGATGTTGAACGAAAGAACAATAAATAAGAGAGCTCAGGAAATGACTCAGAACTTAAGAGACAGAATACAGTTTTTGGAAAAAGAGATACAGAGAAACGAAACAGAGAAAATGATGGTGAACAGAGATCTTTCTTTGTTGAAAGCAACGCAAATGAACGAGAAAATCGCAAATGACAAAAAAGTTCAAACTTTGGAAGAGCAAAAAATCCTTTTAGAAAGACAAATTGAAGATTTAAGTAAGCTGACTGATGTTGCATTGAAAGAAAGTCACCAGAACGAAATCCTCAAAGATAAGCAACTTAGAGAAACAGAAAGTATGCTTCAAGATAAATCAAAAGCTCTTCTTGAAACAGAGAAGAGGTATAACGATTTGAAATCAAGATTTGATGAATTGTTCAACCAGGCAAATGATGCCGAAGTTGACAACAAATCCTTGAGAAATAGAGTCGATGAAATTGTTTTCGAAAGCCAGATGAATAAGAAGAAAGCATCAGAATTCGAAAAGCAATCATCATCACTCAACAACGAGCTTGACAATGCAAACAACAAACTAAGTGATGCTGTCAAACTCACACACGAATTGGAAGCAAAGCTGGAACAAATCAAAATGGAGAATGAATCATTAAAGAACCAATTACTCGAGAAAATGGTCAATGATTCGATTTCAAAAGTTCCAAATGCGAAGAATGACATGTCTAAAGCTGTCAAGTTATACAAAGACAGATTGATTGAATTCGAACAAGCTCTCAAGCAAAGAGTCATCGAATACATTGACCTCAAAAACCAGAGAGCAACAGACCAGAAACAAATCATACAACTGAGGAGAGAAAGCAATCGACATGACAGCGAAATGAAGATACAAAAGATGAGATACGACTGCGCTAAAGATGAGAACGCACACCTAGTCAAATCGATCATGGCACGAGAAGAAACAATAAGAATTCTCAAGAGGGAAATCGAGAGATTGAGAAACTTGTTGAGGATGCAAAAACCATTGAAAGAAAACTTGAAATACATCGAGAAAATGAAAGCCGAAACAAGCGACGAAATCCAGAAACAAATGAGGCAATTGGAGAACTTGCAGAAGCAAAACAAACTATTAGGAACAAATGCTTCCACAAGATTCTTCGACAGAATGATCGAACAGCAAAGGAAATCATTGGCAAGAGCGCAGGCTTTGAAGGAAGAAATAACTCAGAGAGAGCAGAAAGCAAGGATGATGGCATTGGACGCTTCTGCTTTGCTAGTTAGAGAAAACGAATTATCCATTCCAGAAGAAGTTGTAATGAAGTACATGCCGAAACCGGAGCCTTCACAGAAAGTAAAGATGATGCAGCAGAACAGGCAGTTTGTTCAGCAAACACATATCAATGGCGAAGAGATTCCGCAACAAACCAAATCTGTTCAGAATGAAAACCAAAGTTACGCAGAAAGTTTGCAAATTTTGGGTGAATTGAGCGGAAAAGTTGATTCCAAGGCTTTGCGAGGAATGCTCAAAGATGCAAGACACGGACAGATTGTTATTCCAGGAAACCAGAAAACTATTAAAGGTCAAGGAAGCCAGGTTAATAACCTTTATGTGAAATCTTCAAGAAAATAATTTCGAAATTATTTATTATTCATGAATAAATATTTTGTTTGTTTTTTTATTGACTAATAGAATTTTTTTAAAGTCTAAAAAATTTAATTCTTCTTCAAGTAACGACATAAATCCATATCCAAATAGAACTGCAGTGCAATCTGATAACTCTATATTGTTGGGTTTGTCAAAGCCTAATTTGATATCTTCAATATAACATTATCTGGTGAAACCAAAATAATATCAAATTATTTTTTTTTATCAAAAGTGCCAAAAAATTTACAAAGCATGTCAAGTTCTGAGAAATCAAAAAATGAAACTGAATATGATTTTAGTGACATTAAGACAATTGAAGTATTTGAATACCCTAATCAAGCATCAAAACTTATTTATGGTATCAATTCCAATAATATTTTAAAAGTATCTTCGCAAATTATAGAATTCATTACAAATAACAAAATATCTACCCAAATTTCACTTTACTTGATTGATATTATTTCACGAATTCGTGTTAAAGATATTGAATTATTAACAGAACTTTACCAAAATATATCAAACGGATTTTCATGCATAATTAAGCCTAAAAATGAGAAATTAGCGACACTTCTACATTATAAAGGTTTCAAATTTGAAAACTTCGAACCTACAATCGAAGAAGAAGAAATTCTGAATATATATTCAAGAGAATCTCCTTTATTCTATATTGCATGGGATAAAGTTGATGATCTCAAGAGTAAATTTCCAAAACTTGATATTAATCAGAAAATAAATTATGAAATCACGCCGCTTGATTGTGCAATTAAATATGGATCAGAATTCTGTTTCAATTACTTTAAAAATTTGGGGGCTCAATATACTAATTGCTCTGAAGAATATGCTGTTCAAGGCGGAAATAAAGAGATCTTTATGCAAATGATAGAAGAAGGTAAAACATTTGATTACATGATTAATGCAGCATTGGATTATCGACACTATGAAATTGCAAAGTACCTTGAGTCAAATTTTAAACAAACTTTTGATTCAATAGCAGAAAGCATGTATTTTGGAAATTATGAAGTTGCATCTTATTTACTTTCTAATGGAGGAAAAATCAACAACACTTATAATCTCTTTCTTTTCATATTTATCAATGTTTTAGTGTATTCTTTTTCTTTTGATATTTATCATTATTTTTTGATATATACTATCTCGATATTTTTGAATGCCCTCTCAGCATTGCAATCAAAACTAATTCAATAAAAATTGTCAAATTCTTAGTTGAACATGGTTCTAATGTTAACATGAAGCTTATTCTCTTTCTTTTCATATTTATCAATTCTTTATAAAATTCTCTTTCTTATCATATTTATCATGATTTAAAAGAATTTCCTTTCTGTTAAAATTTATCATTGCTTTATTTAATTCCCTTTAATTTCATATTGATATTTATAATTATTTTATGGAATTCTGTTTCTATTGATATTTCTCAATGTTTTATTTTATTCTCACTATGTTAATGAATGTCCTCTTAGCATTGCAATCAAAACTAATTCAATAGAAATTGTCAAATTCTTAGTTGAACATGGTGCTGATGTTAACATGGAGCTTATTCTCTCTCTTTTTATGTTTATCATTGTTTTATGAAATTCTCTCTCTTTTCATGTTTATCGTTGTTTTATGGAACTCTCTTTCTTTTCATGTCTATTTTTGTTTTATTGGATTCCATTTTATTTCATATTTATCATTGTTACATAACATTCAATTTCTCTTCATATTTATCATTGTTTTATTATATTTTCTCAATGCATTGCAATCAAAGCTAATTCAACAGATATTGTCAATTTCTTAGTTGAACATGGTACTATTAATATCAGATAATTCTTTTTCAAATTGCGCGATTCTATATTGAAACAAGATATAGTAATGTCTGCACTATTTAAGAAGAAGCACTCCTAAATTCAGGTTCTAGTTGAAAAGTTTTGGATTTAGTCTTTTTCAACTAGAATCAATCACAATAATGATTCATCAAAGTAAAAAAAAATTACATAAATATTTTTTTTATAAAACAATTATTTCATTATCAGAAGCAGAGCAGCGGTTATCCACACGAATAATTCTCAAAGGAACCTGTTGTGACAATATATTCACCAGATTTTTACCACATGAAATGCATTGAAGAGATCTACAATTTTCAAACGCTTTTTGGCGGATATAAGTAACTGAAGGTGGAATGTAAATATATTTCAAGTTGACACAGTCAGCTACAACGAATTTTGGAATCAATTTGATTGAATCTCCAAAATCTATGCTTTCCAGCATCCTGTTATTAGCAAACGCGTACATCTCTATGTTAGAAACAAGCGGTGGCAGCTTTATTGCAGTTATATTCGTGCAATATACCGCGTGTTGCAAAATTTTTGTTAATTGCACTGGGAAAATCAATTCCTTGAGGTAGATGGCCTTGTAGAAGCAATAGCTTCGCAATGTATTCGCGTGGGAAGGAATTTGGTAAGTTTCATTCCTCAAATAAGGCGGATACCAAATTAAAATTGAACTTTTGTCAAAAAAGAGAACACTGTCTTTAACAGTGAAGTACCAGTTATTTGGATCACATTTGAGAACGACGTGAGGCACTCCTTCGAACGCATTTAACCCAATAAATTGAATACTTGGAGTAATGATAAATTCCGCGAGGTTTGTGTATGCAAATGCAGAGTTTACGATTCTTTGTAGCTTTGAATCGGGTGGAATGATGATTTTCTTCAGTCTAGAGCAAAATTTAAACGAATCTAGTCCAATGTAGATGCAGGCTGGACTTATAGTGACTATTTCGAGATTGTAGCAGCATATGAATGCTCTATGATTGATATGGATGTTTGTTACATTTGAGAAATCAAAAATTTTAATTTTTGAAAGCTCAAATCCGTTTAAAGGGAGTTCGTTAACATAAAGTACCTTTGAAAAGTCATAATATGGAACTTGGCAACGGAGAAATGCAAATTGATGGATCCATGTTAATATTTTTGGAAAAATAATTGTTTTGCCATAAGTAAGAAGAAACGAATAGGATTCTATACCAAATACTGTTTCTGGAATATGGATAACTACGTTCGGATTTGTATTAAAGCAGTAAAAAACGATTTCTTGATTGTAATTCATAAAGCATGCATTTTTGAAAGCAAATATTCGATTGTTTGGGTGTATTTCGATCTTTTCAATGAGTCTTACATTTGCAAACCCAACTTCGTACAAACTTTGTGGAACGTAAAAATATTTTAATTTTGATTCCCCAAGAGAGTTCTCCTTCAGTACTTTTAGACTTGAATTTTTTGGAATCACCATATTTGAAAGCGAATTGCATAAATAAAACGCGTTTTTTGGGATAAATTCAAGTTTTTCATTCAGGTAAACTGTATGTAAGTAATAGCATTTTTCAAACGCTGAGACTCCAATAGATTTAAGTGATGAACAATTGCGAAAATCAAGGACTTCGATAAATCTACAAAGATAGAACGCATAATCACCAATATCTTGAAGATATGGTGATTGGAAATCAATTGCAGTTAATGTCTCCCGATTATGATCAAACGCACATTTCGAAATGCTGGATACATTTTCGGAAACTAGGTAATAATGTTGATTTGCTGGGATATTCTTATTGTTTAACGATATTAATTGCAGGTTCATGCAGTTTGTTTATAGTTTTATCCATCAGATTCATAAATAATTCATCATTTTGTTGTGACCTGATTTTTTGTAAAAAGAAAATCGAAATAGAGTGATTTTATTAATTGTTATTTTTTTATCACTATTTCGTCTTCAGGTCGGTGTAATACCTTAAAAGTTGAAAAGTGACAAATTAAAGACAGTATGAAATAAGCTAATGTATTGTGGTATTATGTTTATATTTATTAAACAAACATGCGAAACTTGATATAATTTTGAGAATAAGTCAAATTTTAAAACTTTAATGTAATAACATTTGGATCATTGTAGATGGTTTATGTTAAGTATAGTTTTTCAAGTAAATCGATTTCCAATGATGATAAATTTGAAATCAAAAATGAATTGCAAATTTATAAAGAATGGTAGAATGACAAATACTTAAATCAATTAGAGTAATAAAATCCATGTATTAACTAGATAGATAATCTTGTATGGAATTAAAAATAACGAAACTAGATATATTTACGTTAAGCAAATACTGTGAACAGAGCATTTACATTGTGTATATTTATCAGATAAATTCGAAATTAAATTATCCCGGTAATAAAAATTGAAATTTAAAAATCATCATTAAAGTCTTTATAACCTGTCTCATTCAGTCCATCACTGACGATACAGTGTTATGACTACAAAAATAGCCAGCAATAAATTCAAGGATGGTCTGTATCCAATAAATAATTCAAATTAAAAATTATAACCGCCAAATTTAAATTGGAACATCGATAACAATAAAAAAATCAGTAAAATATCTAGATCATCCATAACATAATTGAAATGCCGGAGAAAATCCTACACTCATTCGCGATCCTCAGGACGATAAATCCTTTTACAAAATCGGCTAACGATAAAAATTTGACAGAAGTTTTTTTCAATATTCCGGTAGTAAACTTTTGAAAGGAATTAGCCAAATTTGAATACAAAGATATCAAAACAACAATCACATCATTATTATAAATGAACAACGTTCGAGAGAACCCACTCCTCGACAACCATGAGGAGCTTGAAACAGTCGACCGCGTTAGAGAGTCTTCTGGCTCCAAGAAGAAAGTTTTCCTTTACGGAACAATTATTTGCGGCTCCATTATAATTGGTGTCATTATTGGCATGATGGCCGCATTTGCCTACAAACCAGGCACAAAGCATATTGTTTACAACCAATATGATGCATTACCAGATTGCCAAACTTATTCTTCATTCTCTTGCAGTGGTTCTAACTCTGCAATGGATTCTAAATACTGCGAAAACAGATGGAATACACCAAAGCGTGGTCAAGATGCATGGAAACCAGGCTTCCAGGATATGTCCACATTAGCTGGCTATGCTCAATTAAAGTACGCAGCAGGAATGAAATCTTGCACAGTTAACATCATCACAAAGACATCCAGAGACCTTTCTCTTACATACTACTTTGATGGAGTTGCTCAAACTTCAAGTTCTAAGACATTCGATTCTTCCTACAACAAAGTCTTAAAGGTCAAGGTTATTGCTGCTTCCGGTGAAATCCTTGAGCTTGATGGCATTGACTTTGCTTGGAATGCTGCTGCAATCAAGTCTCGTTCTTACGACTACAGAAAAGGCCAGAAGGGTGCTATCGTAGAACTTTTCGGCTGACCAGATGATGATATTGCTCAGGAATGCCAGTTCATCGCCGATGCTGGTTACATGGGTGTCAAAGTCTTCCCACACCAGGAACAAGTTATGTCATACCAGCCAATGGAGAACCAGATGAACCCATGGTATTTCATGTACCAACCAGTTTCCTACAGACTTCAGGGCAGAATGGGTACTCGCGATCAGCTCAGAAACATGATCAACACATGCAGAGCATTAGGTGTTAGAGTTTACGCTGATGCAGTTGTTAACCACATGTCTGGAAATGGCAACGACTTATCCAACCACAGAAATCCAGGAGCTGGCTGCACAACATGGGGCAACAAGACATCATCCGCTTACGAGAATGGCTCACCATACTACACACCAGCTTACACATACGAGACAAATCCAAATACTGGCAGAGGCACAAACGTATTAGAATTCCCAGGTGTTCCATACGGCCCAGAAGATTTCCACTGCGACAAAGCTCTCAACTCATGGAACGATCCAAATATCCTCGACAGTGGCTGGCTTTCTGGCTTATCTGATTTGGATACTTCCAAGGAATACGTCAGACAGAGAATTGCTGACTTCATGGTCGACCTCATCTCCATTGGTTTCTCTGGCTACAGAATTGATGCTGCTAAGCACATCAGACCACAAGATTTAGCTGCTATCTTCGGAAAAGTAAAGCAAGGCTTAGGTGGTCAGTTACCAGATGACTTCATCTCATGGTTAGAAGTTCTTACAGGTGGTGAATCCCAGTTGTTGGTCCAAGGTGATGGCGACTACTCATTCACAGGTGGCCTCACAAAGTATCTTAAGCAGAATGGCCTTTCTGACGAAGAAATCCTTAAGGTCAAGATCTGGTGGAGTGGATATCCAACAGAACCATGGAATGATAATGGATTCCTTGATATCAGACGTAAAGTTATCCAGAATGATGACCACGATCAGCAGAATGAAGGATCATCATCTAGAGATATGCACGACAACGGCTGTGTCCTCATCAAGGGCTGTGCTCCAGACACACACAGATACTTCGAAAAGAAGTTGTTCGAATCACCAAACGGTGCTAACAACAATAAGGAAGACTACCCAATCAGAATGGTCCTTTCATCATACTACAAGGGACAGACTGGTTCAATGGGTATCCCAGATAGAATGTCTACTTGCGACAAGTGCACAACAACTTGTGGTGGTTGCAAGGATAGACCATATGTTAAGGCATACAATCCATCAGCTACTTCTTATCCAGGTGGTTACGGATATACTTATGTCCACCGTGATCAAGAGATCATCAACGCCATGCGTAACTGGATGAAATGATCTTCATTCAGGGTATCCTTAAATAAAGTTTATTCTTTTATTTAAATATCTTATTTGGATTTCTACCGATCGGTGTTATTTATAAAAAAAAGATAAAATAAAAAATGATAAATAATTTATTGATTTATTTGAATTTATGTAGTGATTCATAAATAATATCTAAAATTAAACGATTTTATAGATATGTTTTTTGTCTAGATTAATTATATATTAAGAAATTGCAAAAATTTTAATTGAAAACTATAAAAAAAATTATTAAAGAGAAAAAACAGAGAAAAGGATATCTCGAATGCAATAATATAAAGGTCGACAAATGAGAAAAACGAAGAAAAAGTATCTGATGGGTTAATTAAAGATTGAAGAAAAAAGATAATTTGAATGAGGATGATAGAATTGAAAAAAAAAAGATTGATAAAAAAGGTAAATTGCTAAAATTATTATATACATAAATAAATATGATAAAAATAAGAGTTGATTGATAAAATTGAAAATCGCTTCAAATAAATTAGCAAGTCTCCAATTATTAATTAGACAATTATTAATTAAAAATAAATGAAAATTTTATTCTCCAAATTTTCAATTAAAATAATTTAATTCTTATCCAAATTGTCAATTATAAGATGGTATTGAAATATATCTTATACTGTAAATTGTTTCACCACGGTTTAATTGAAAGTCAATTCACTTTTGAGGATGAAATTTTTGTATGATATTTCAATTTGAAATTCGTTATAATAGTGTCACTATCATATATTAAATTAAATTTTTGAAATTTAATTTTTTATCCAGTTTGTACGTTAATTCGTTTTTTGAAAAGTAGATGAAAGATCAAATCAAAAACTTAGTGTATATTCATAATAACCCATGTTTATAAAATGAATGGTTTATCAAAAAATTTATCATTTGATAAACTCATTTACAACCAGTTTTAGAATACAATAACCAAGAATTTATTTTCAAAGTAATCACAATTTTTCGTGAAGTTTCTTAAAGATTTCAATCAATTTACGGTTATTGTTACAAAATATCATGCTTGAAAATTTTTCAACAACACCTGTCTAGATCTGATTAATGTTCTTGAAAATTTTTCCAGTATAAATTTGAAAAAAGAAAAAAATTGTAAAATGGCTTCAATGTTTTCCCTCCTTATATCTTTTTCTACTGCAGTTTGTTATCCACAGACTACTGGTTGGTACTACAACCAGCTAAATGAACTGCAGAAACCATACTACGAAGCGTTACAAGTGTGGTGCAAAGAGGGGAATTTACCAAACGGTAATAATACCATGTTCCTAACATCAGACACTCGCCTTACAAATAAAGTCAAACAATCCGTCGTTCAAGCTTATTCTACAGGTTCAAATTCTGAAATGCTAGAACATTTTAGACTAGGCATGAAGGCATTTGAACTAGAGCATCCAGAAGTATTTTACGTTGATTATTCCAAAATTAGCTTCAAAGTTTCAAAAACAACTACTAATCTTTACACAGTTTTATTCGGATCCGTCACAACACCATCTTATTTAATCAACAATCTCACAGACGTCGATGATCTCATAGAAACATTTAATACATCAGTTAATAACTATATCTCAAACGTAAACTCAAATATCGAATTGAACAATAAGATTGGTGATACATACAATAGAATCGGCGCTGTAGATACAAATGTAATCAACTATTTGGATTCACAATACGGACTATGGATAAACTCTGCTTTTGGCGCTATCGTTTACAATAAAGCGACAGCCATTGGCATAGCGAAAGCGTATAGTTTATATCTTACTCTCCTTAAAGTACCGAACGTTCTCTGCGAAGGAACAGCCAAAATCGACGGGAACCTTAAAGCTCATTCTTGGATTGTTTTGCAGATCAACAACAAGCTTTATCTATCAGATCCAGTCATAAAAATTATGTTCGGCACTTCTTCAGACTTTGAAGAGAAAAACTACGGCGGTTCAGTCGATTTTGATCTCCCTGTCACTACATTGACATTTAATGACTTCAAATACTTCGAAATGCCAAACATGATTGGAATTACATACCATGACTACACCTCCAGTGAGATGGAAGCTCACAATTTGCTTCTTGTCTACAGAGTCTTCACAACGAGTTCCGCCGGCCAGTGGATGCCTGTTCAATACTTACCATCGAGCAATGTATATTACGTGCTTTTACTCAACCTTGATTTCATGGCCCTTCAATTCGGCATTTTACCGAAATCGAAGACCACTTCATATGAAGACAGGGCTACATCGAACCAGGACGTATACAGAAGATCGCCACTCATATGGTCAACCACAGCAACTTCGAAAGTCCACAATTTCAACATTGACGTTGCAAATGTCTATCCTATGTACTCCATTGACCGTGCATCCAACACCTACCTACTCGACTACAACTACACTTTCTGCTTCCAGCTCTCAGAGAAGTACCAGCTCGTAGACAGCAAATCTCCCATCCAAATCAACGTCAGCAGGACTGTGAATGGCGAGACAAAGTACGAACTCATCAATACTACTGGCGATGGAGTAATAAACATCAGATTCAACTTCAAATCATTCCAAGAAGATTCGCAGGAATCGCAGGTTATCTACTCCTTTGACATCGCGAACGTGGTCGGACTTTACAACGCGAGGAAGTTCACCGGCCGGAAGCTCACTTTTTGCCAGAACCAGGCTTATTTCGGTTCATCCTTCGTGTCATCTTCCGCTGTGCTTCCTGTTTCCGATTTCCCAGCCTTGCTTGTCGACAACAACGCTAATGTCACAAGGTGCAAGCTCAACGGCAAGAACTTCAACGCTTATAATCCAAATGACATCAAATTAGTCACAAACATCGATGGTAGCAAGTACGACATCTCGCTCCAGTTCGTCGGCCAGAGCGCAGAACTCAGCGAAGGCCAGAAAGTAACAGTCCAAGTACCATTCCCAGCTGATTACAACGCTTCCAGTCCAAAGAAGTACATAGTAAAGCACACAGTTAACGGTGTAAACGAGACTATCGTTCCGGCCAATCTTCCAACTGGTCTTTTAATTTCGGTTTCATCCTTCAGTCCATTTTACGTCGAAGAGGCATCAAAACCCGAGGAAGTGTCTCTATATGTTAAGACCGACAATGGAGAAGTCCACGTTTACAGGCAGAACTCAGATGAAGACATTGTCAACAAAGTTTTGTCTCTTCCATCGAATACGGACCTTTCCTTCGACATAAAGATCAGCGACAACTCCACCGCCATCAACAAAGTCTTCTTCAACGGCGAAATCATTCAGGTCAAAAACGATCAAATCCAAGTTGTCCTCAAGAACGCTTCGAATGTCATAGAGATATTTACTTCCACTAAGAAGATAGTCGCAATGGAACAGGCGTTGAACCTTACTTCAGTGTTCGTTACTTCAAATCTGATTTCGAACGCCCTTGCAGCCAAAACTCCGATATCTAACCTTGACGCGGATGAACCAGTCTGGCCTCCGATATTCCAGGAGTACTCAAACGGTTCGAAATCCCCAGTTTTCGTAACAAATCCGCCATCAAAGTCAGATTCAACATCGCCACCAGCCGTTATCACTCCAATTGTTGACAACCCTACTGAACCAGCGAGTTCAGACAGCGACCCATCAAAGAAGATGTCTAAACCAGCTTATGTCGCACTTTTGTTCTGTTCTGTCCTTGCTTTCTGTTTCGTGGTCATCGCGATCTTCTTCATCGGAAAGACAAGGTCAGACATCAAGAGAATGGACAAGAACATCCTCGGTCTCGATTCCAGTGAAGATGATGACAACAACACAACATCTAGTTACATTGATGAGAAAGAGACCCCACTTTAATTTTGTTTTATATTATTTACCATGAAATTTACCATGAATTTTGTTTTATATTTTTTATTTAATTTTATTTTTAATTTTAAATTTATCATGTTATTTATTAATTATTCTTTTTTTTAAACATGTCTTTTTATTATGAGCTTAAGAATTCATTCCAATTTAAAAAGAATAATTCTTTTAAAAGACTTATCTTATTGTATTTAGTAAAAATACCAAAAATTGTATTTATAATTTAGTTTAATGATTAAAAACATCAAAATTAAATATTTATTCATGAAAATGATTCCAAAAGAATGAAGAAAATAGAATTTCTCAGATAGATCATGGTCCTATATTCGAGAAATACACATGTTATCTCATTTCGTATTTGAAGTATAGTTATTCGAGCAAATCCATTACCATAGTGACCAAATTCTTCATATTCATCAACAGATTCTGGAGAAGGCATTGTCTGGTTTCCCGTAATAGTCTTTGGATCGTGGAAAAATATGTTGGAGATATGAATCGATGTTGGAAGAGGTTTAAAATTTTCGTCCATTGCGATGCAGTCAGGATGGCCGCTGATGTACGAGCTACCTCCAGCACCACCTGTAGATCCATATACACATCCGAAGCGCCTACAGTTGATGCCTCCAAAGCCACCAAAATATCCCCTCCACCACTTCCTCCGGCCTCATTACCGTCTTCTCCTTTTCCTCCTTGGAAAACTTGATATCCATAGGTCTGATTACCAGGCACACTTTTACGAGTCCTTGAGGGATCAGTACTGATTGATTCAATGCCAGGAGTGCCTGATATACCTCCTCCATTGCCTCCATAGCAATCTTCCCAAAATAGGCAATTACTGCCCCCAGCACCAGCAACCATGATTCTGTCGATTATTTTCGGCTCAATTTTGATGTCTTTAATAATTCTGACATCTGTAGCTCCTCCAGAACCTGCAGTTGCAGCATTATAATCTGTGAAATCACTGCCACCATCACAACCTCCGTTATAGCCACCTTTTCCTACTTTATAATTTCTTGATGTGGCATTTTCGCCTTGTGTACCACAAATATTCCAAAATTCATAGGCTTATCAAGTTTTAATATACCAGATGTATATCCACCTTTTCCCGTAGATGTATACTGATAATAATCTGCATGGGTCATTCCAGAACTTGCTCCCCAAAGCTCAAACTTATAATTTCCTGGGACTAAATGAATTTTATAATATCCAGACCCGGTGCTCGGAAATAAGAAAGTTGAATTTTTGTTTTTCTCTCTGGAAGGAGAAGCAAGGTATAATGAATAATCACTTGAACTATTCATCCTAGAACATTGCTATTTAAATTCTTAAATGCTACTAAGTACTGTATCTAGAGCTTAGAAGTAGAAAATAAATATCAACATCGTCACTTTTTTTGATGCGGGAAAGATATTGATCCAATTTAATAATTGATCTATCGTAGGAAAATGATTTTTCCGATATACACTTTCTAATATGACAAAATGAAGCGATAATTCTAATCAAATTAAAATGATATTTATCATGTGGTTATCAAATTGCTTTATTAATTTTAGAAAGATTTTACTTTGCTTTTCTTCTCCTTTAGTTCCTGAAACAGGCATTATTTAACACTCAAATTCTATCTTACATCAATTTCAATTCTTAATCAGCAGAAGAATTCAATCATGGGAAGATTGTAATAGAACATTTGTGTGAATCTTGAATATCTTTATTTCTCAGGTAAATAACGTATGATCCTTTCTTTTCAATTAATTATTCTTTATTTGTTTCGGATGTTTTAGAGAAATAGGAAGTTGACTATCATCTAGCGATGAATTCAGTATACCCAAAAGAGTTTGTAATAAATAAATTTTTAACTAATAATTTATCCGAAACATGAGTTTAAATATGATATAGCTTGCAAGAACACAAAATATAATGAATGATTCTAATATAACAAACTAATGAAAATGAGAAAGTGAATCTAATATTATCATCTTGAAACAAAAATGCATTAATCTTTTTAGTGAAATCTTTTCTTGATATTTGCAATTGATTTTATAGATAGAATGACCAGATTTAATGAGGATTTGATGAAACTGTTACATCCAGTTCATCTAAATCAATGTCATCATCATCTTCATTTTCTTGATTAGAATTTTCATTATTATTAGACTTTTCTTTCGAAATTTGTTCAAGATATTTATCTATATCCTCAAACACTTTGCGCTTAGTTTCATTTCTATTAATTTTTGGAATATCCGGATCTTCTATAGCTTGTTCTTCTTCATCAATGGTTGCTGTATTTGGCTTCTCGATTACATTTTGATTTTGTTCTTCTGTTTGTTCATTTGTAGTAGATTTACTGTTCTCATTTTCTTCAACTTTATCTTTTTCATCCGTTTTAGCTGCTTCTGCAAGTATTGCATCTAGGTCAGCATCGAAATCTAAGTCTGCATCGTTACTCATTGAAGAAATAATATCAAAAATAATGATGTCATGCATTAACAAATAGCGCAATCTGATGCTATGGTCTGGCCTTCGAATTTTTCATCAATAAAATTTATTATATAAGATAATTGAAAGCAAATATATCATAAAATAGAACTATTACTTGTGAAAAGTTATATATTTGATTCTTATATCTCTAATATTGATTTTTAAATTCATGGAAGTCATTTCATAAAGAAAGAGTATTGATTGAGACAAGATTTCAGTTATCTATGGATCATTTCATAAAGAGGTCATTAAACCGAGGAATAAGAATCAATTGAATAAGAAATAGAAATCTTAAATTAACCTTAAGTTATCGGTATTGATTCAATTTTCAAGGATCCGATCATAAATTTTTGAAAGATCTTAATTTCTCGCAATCATTTTAATTCCTCAACATACCAACACGGTACTTCATTTAATTGAAAATAAATCTTGTAATTGTCAAAATTTTAAGAGATAATGTCCGAGAACTTGATTAGTAGTCAAGTTCTTGGATTTCGACCGAACAGTTTAACAGCCTTTGCAACAACACATGCTTCACAGCATGAATCAAATCTTTTTGCTTATGCTGCAGAGCATGCAATTGTCATTTACGACAGGATCATGTATTATCACAAAATTATTCTTACTCCAGATCCAACATCGCCTATTGTTGCATTGACCTTCTTTGGTCGTGATTCTCTTTACTGTTGTAACTCAAAAGGAGATTTATTTCACTATTCTATCATGAATTACAAGGATGGACCAATAGAAACAATGAATATAAAATGCTGTCCATCATCAATGACCGCTTCAAATCAAAATCTCTTTATTATTTCCGGTTCTTGCATTTATATTTTATCTGTAACTAAACCTTTCGACAAATCAAACCTCGTTTTACTTACAAATACTCAATCTCATCTCGAAGTATCCGTCTCTCCATGCGGCAGAGCAATGGCAGCTTATGCACGAAATGGACCTTCACCAGTTCTCTGGTATGCTCCATATGAAAAGGGCATGAGGTCAGCACTACCGCTCAAAGTCAATGTAATCGACTTTCAGTGGGCTTGCACTCAATATTTAACTGCTGTTACTTGTGACGCAAACAACGCAGTCCGCATTTGGGCAGAGACAAAGAATACCACCGAAATGAGATGTATCGCGTATTACACCTTCCAAGTACCAATCCATTCCATCGCTGTGATGTTACCACACGATCGATGGCATAATCCAAGGCCATACGTTGCCAGACAGAATAAATCGGTATTTCCGCTCGTTTTACAGCCAAATTTGCTCATTTCGGCATCACTTTCCGATGAAATTGTTTTGTTGGAACAAACAATTCGTCCTTACATGAGAAAAGTCGGTTCAATACCTTACCAAGATAATAATACAGTACTTACAGTTGGTGATTTGTCATATATTTACTCAGAAAGACAAATTAAACGTCAAATTCACGCATTAAAGTTTTCGAAGACAAATCTGACATTTATGCATATAGAATTAGGCGAAAATACAGTTTTATGGTCCATTCCACTCATCAGACATTTCATTCACGCGCCAGTCAAAAAATTATTTTTGCAAAACGATCATTACATCGCAGAATACGCAAACGGAACATTCTTCGACTGGAGTGAAGAGAAAATGATCTCTCCACCTCAGGAAGAAATCCAGATTCAAAATAATACCGTAATATACAAAAATACAACAAAATTACAGCTTGATTTCGTTCCATCGTCATTTGTAAAATATCACGATGATGAACAGACCATTGCCATTGCTTTTTCTGATAAAAATATTTGTGGTTGCTTATTTGGCTCCAAAAACATCGTAATTCCAGCAGATCCTCCACAAGAAAAGATTGACCACGTGTCAGTACATTCAAGCGACCTATTTGCAGCGTCTACAAAGTCAGCTGTCTACATTTATTTTTATATGCATAAGAAATACGAAATGATTGCAAAGAAAAACTTCGTAAACCCACGCTGCTTCTTTTTACCACATTCATTAATACTTCTAGCCATTAATTATGACGATATTCTTGACTTTTTCGTTGTGAATCGAAATTCAATCAGATCAGCCGCCGACATCGGCCAACACGTGACTCCTTTGCGTACAACACCAATTGTTTCTCTGTCTGTGATGCCAAATGACGCTGTTTTCGTTTCTACAAACAATGCTTTGTTCAAAGTCAACATTCACAAGTCAAATATACCTCAGCCGGTCAAAACAGGCTCAAAAGTGTTCTTAACATGCTTTACTTTGTGTTATTTCAACGCATTGAACAAATTAGCAAACGGAGAAGTTCCTGACGTCCCAGACTTCCTCAATCGCGGCGATCCTGAGATTGTAGATCATGTTTATTTAAGAAAAGAAGAGTTTGAAAACGAAATTCCAAAAGAATTTTTCAGAGTTTGCCAGAGATTGCCTCCAGACTGGAAGAACCTCGATAGAAGAGGCATGAACTGCTTAATTGGCAATATTTTGGCCCAAGAAACTGATGCAAAAGGAGCTTATCCATTATTCGGAATTTGGGGCCTATTAACAAGGAACCAGACATTGTTAACTAAATTAATATCATTCAGAAGCATCGAAAACCTCCTCAGTTCGATGATTTCTATTTGGCTGATTGATAATGAATTATTAAAACAGTTTATCTCAAATTTCATAGCCCAAATGAAGCCATCAGACAATGAATTTGATGATTTCATATTACTTTGCACTTGTGTTGGCAAGAATATCCTTTCTAAGAAGATTTGTTTGTTATATGACCAACAAAAGCTTGCAAATACAATAGATCTCTACATAACAGATAGATTCAAATCTAAATCAGCTGATTCTGGAGCTTACAGAGCTCTCAGAGAGCATAGACCAAGTTTAGGCTCAGTTTTCTTCATTTTCAAAGGAGATAAAGTTTCCGCAATCAGATGTCTCAAAGACAGGCCATTTTTAATGCTTCTCGTAGCAAGATTACTTGATTACAACTGGAAGGAACTGATTATCAAAGAATTTGACGATGTTTATGGCGGCTTCTACTCAAAATGGTGGAATGATGATAGAGAAGGTGCCATTTGTGTCCTCAAAGAGCTTGATTTGCCATCAGCAAAAGTAGTTTCTTCAGAATTTCACAGATATCAGATTTTATTAGAACTTGGAGTCGAAGAGAGAAGGCTAATATTGAGTCTACAGCCATATGCAGTCTTTGCAGCTGTTGCATTAACCCAAGTTTCCTCAGATTTACAAGATCAAATCGAAAACAAAGAAACAGAGCAAATTGAAGAGCCAAAACCAACTAAAACAGAAGAAGAAGAGAAGACAGAGACAGATGATGACATGAATTTCGATTTCGGAGGTGGAAATTACATCGAATCTGATTTTGATAAAGAATATTCATATTCAGACTCCGAAGAAGTCGAAACCAAAGAAGACGAACCAAATGCCATCAAAGTTCCTCCTAAAAACGTTTTCAAACGTGACGAATTAGACATAATCTCCAGATTAATCAACACTTTCACAAGATCTCCCCATGTCATACCCCAGAGAGTCCCTCTCGGCACGAACCAACACTACATCGCCGGCCTCATTGCGAGATTGTTCAGCGGCAGGCAGCCAGAGCCAACTTCCCTTCTTTTGGAGGAAATTGCAACGAAACTGTACCAAAACGAGTCAACAAAGTACCTTTCCTACGTTGTAATCTTCGCTCTGATGGAGGCAAAGCACCTTCCGAACATGATCGGACCACTTTTCGACGGTTTGTTCGACCAGGAAACATTTGACATTTTCCTTATGCAGTCGAAGAGCCACCAGACATTCATCTACCCTGATCTACTGACTGCTTTCGTGGCTAATGACAAAAGTGAAGTGACTCACAACGATAGAAGAGTCATCTCACTTTTAGCGATTAACAGACTTATGGATATATGCAAACCATTCATGAAGAAGCCACTGGAGCCACTTTTTGCGTTCATTCACACGAGGTACCGCAGGTATTTCAGTCTTGTGAAGAACTTCACTTTGTCTCGGCCTAATTTCTGTGTCGGATTGGATCCGATCGACAACAAAGCCGAGGAACACATCAAGTCAATGAACGCAACAAAAATGGCCCACAACTACAGAATTTCTATTTCTGATGATTTCATGTCACCTTTTTATTCTGACGGCGAATTTGAGTGCACTAGATCATTTCTGACAAACTCGAGAGTTGGCAACCACCACGTCAGGGACATTGTAATCAATCCATGCAACAACAAGAATGTTGTTTTGGTCGCAAAGACAGTTTGTGAAGTGATGATTACTCAGGAAGATTTGGACATGTCCCTGAATGGAAATAAACCAGTCATGAAAGCTGAGGAAGATTGGCTCGTGGTCGATCTGCAGGACCAAACTAAGCAGGAAAATACTGAAAATACTTCTTCCTACGATGATAACTTTGATTCCCATTTCACTTCACTTTTAGAACATGTCACTTTTACTCCTGACAAAGTTGGAAGAACAACAAGGTATTTCAACATGCACTGGCACAACCAGGAGACAAATCTCTCTGATATCAAAGCATTATGCTGTTCTTCACATCCGACCAAACCGTCGTATATCGTTGGCGGTTTTGACGGCAAATTATATTGTGCTGATTTTGGACAGAAGAAAACGCGTAGTTACATGACTATTTCTGATTCTTCAATCAACCAAATCAGATTCAACAGATGTGGAGACAAAATTCTTTGTAATTGCGAAAATGGAAATGTCGTAATTAGTGACTTCACTTCTGCTTTTCAGCCACTTTTGAAGCCGAGAGACTTCAAATCGCTCGATTGGCTGAACAACGACACACAGTTTGTCATCTGCGGGAACCAAGGAATTGGAATTGTCGACACAATTGTTGGAGATGTTGTTTGCGAAATTTCATCTGATTTGGATGGTTTCACAATTCCATGCTCTGTTTGGGGACCTTACATCGCTACTGGCTGCCAGAACGGGTCAGTGAATATATTCGATGTTAGAATGTGCAAATTGGTTTCTTCCCTGACAGAACATAGTAATTCTGTTACAACAATTAGATTTGATGAAAGCGGATGTTTCCTTTTGTCCGGATCATCTGACAATACAATTTATGTGATTGATGGATTGAATTTCACAACTTCTTCGAAAATTAATGATGTCTTGGGACACACAACTTCTTCGAATCAGTCTCACAGCATATTGAGCTTGGCAATATCTAACCAGGTTATTGTGGCTGGAGGTTACTCACCTGTTTTAAGGGCTTGGACTATATCAGAGCCTAGAGTTATTGATTAAAAATATTTTTTTTTCTGTTTATTAAATTATATAAAGATGTTTCTATATACATTTATAGATAGAAATATGTATCTAAAAAACGTTTTCACTTATTACATTTTAAATATTGTTTGAAATTGTTTTCATGAATTTAAAACAAACATGCTTTTATCATGTATAAACGAATAAAACTCAATTTCTCATTATATAGAGAAAAATATGAACGTGTCAAATGACAGATTCAGAAACTCAAAAAGGAAGATATTAAAGTTGTGTGAGGGCAGAAGGAGGTTGGATGCAGTAACAAAATAAATATTAACTCAATTAAAATAAATTTACAGAAATTTTTAATAAAAATTTAGATGAGTACGTGAATTACGTAATGAGAATAAGCTTAACCATATAACTAATCATCCATGTCATCGAATGGATCATTAGTTTGAGGGTTTGATGACACGTACATTGGATTATCCATTGTTGTATTGGCCTGTGGGTTTTCTCCATCTCCAATGATCGTTTCTTCATCCTTGAGTTCGTACTCTGGCATTCTTTGTGAATCAGGAGAGTCACTACTTGCATCGTTGGAACTCTTAAGTTTCTTTATAACTATAAAGACAATAATAGCAATTAAAATGATACATACTATAACAACAACTACTGCAATTACTGTCTTCTTCTTTTTATCTTTGTTAGAATCATTTGTATTTGAATTTGTTTTTTCAGTATAGAACTTGAATGACATTGTGGATTTCTCTGATTGCAACTTATCCTGGTCTAAAATGTATACTGTAATGTTGACATCACCATCTTTGAGATCAGATGGAGTTGTTATATTGAAATTGTAATCTTCTTCTTTACCGTTTGAAGTGTATTCATATTCCTTCTTTACATCCCCTTCGTTAAATGAAACAAAGAATTGTAGTTTGTCATGGTTGTCAATATCTTGAACTTTTCCACTGATAATTATCAAATCTCCAGCTTTATATTTCTCCTCTTTGAGTTCAGCTTTCAATAAATGTGGCTTGTTCCAGATATTGAAATTAAGAGAAGTTGGTTCTGATGAATATAAATTATCATCAGAGGCAACGATATTCAATACATGACTTCCATGCGTAAGTGTATCTGGAATTGATATATCAAATGAGAATTTCTCTTTTGCCTTCTCAACTCTACCAAGGTCCTTTGGTGCTTCAGAATTAAAGAAATATGAAATCATTACATCGGTTTCTGAAGTGAATGCTCCTGAAGAATGTAATGTTGATCCCTTTTGATAGTATGCATCTGTAGTGGATGTAAGAGATATTGTTGGAACTAAGATGACTCCAATTTGCTTTGTAACTGGATCAGATAAGGAAAAACTATTACCTGATTCGCCATCGAAGTTATCTACCGATGACATAATGAATCTGAGTGAATATTCACCTAACTCAGCATCAGAATCAATTGAAATCGATTCGGAAATTGCTTGATTTTCATTGCCATTTGATGAATATGTTTTCAGAGTTGCTTGCTTTATTACTGTGGTATCTTTGATTAACTGATACAGCAAATAAAGTGATTTTCCATTATCTAGATCCGTAAAAGCACCAGTGATTGTAATAGTACTATTTCTAGGTACATTCTCTTTACTAATTGTAATAGAGAGATCTGGCTTATTCATGATTTTTACTATTTTGGTTAAAACATTCTCTGATGTAAAACCGAATTCATTCTTTGCATAGACTTTGATATTTTGTTCTTTTCCAGAATCATATGCAATAGATTCTGTAGGGATTTCTTCATTTTGAACAGTTGATTCTCCATTCAAGTTCTCGATATTTCGGACGACAACTGAATTGATTTCAATAATGATTGAATATCCAACATCATTGTTTGATGTGTATGTAATGGTAGGTTTATTATCATTGGAATAATATAAAGAATCTGAGAAATAACCAGTAATTGTTGGCTTATGGACGACTTTAATCGTTGTAGAGGCTGACGAAGATATTGCTTTTGTTGTGGTATCTGGATCTTAATTATCGCTGCAAATCAATGAGTACGAATAATCTCCTTTGACATCAAAACTGATTGGAATACTAAACTCAACAATTTGATCATTATTATCAGTTTGAGTGGTAGGTCTAAGTTGGTAATTTGTATATTGTTGGTCATCATCTTTTCGATAATGAATGAAGAATTTGGAAATATCAGTATCATATAAATTGCTAACTTTTCCTTTCAAAGTAGATGATCCTCCAACAGAAATTACAGATGGTTCAAATTTCACTTCTGTGAGAATTGGAACACGTTTGATGATGAATGTCAAATCTTTGGATGAAGAAACGTGATCAGTACCTGTGGCAGTAACTGCGAGGGTATGGCTGCCAGGTGAGATGCCTACTAGTGGGAAGCTGATACCTGTGATAGTTAAATCATTTCCGCCGATCTGTGCTTCCATGGTCTGAGTTGTACTTGAATTGGCTGGTGTGCCATCAAGTGAAAACGTGAATGTAATTGTTCCGCTGCCAGAAATTTTACCTATGATAGCAAGGCTTTCTTCGGTATTGAGATGCTGTTCATTTGCAGCATTCTCTAATTTAAGTGATGTTGCGACGAGGATTGTGATGTCTTTAGACATTTTAGTCGAGTGAAGATTGTTGACAGTGCTATCACCTTCAGTGTAATCGATCTTATCGATTTCACCATCTGATGCGAGCCATGCATACATCGTGTGTGTTCCTGGTGCAAGTTGGCCGTTGCTTGCTTCACTCAGGTCAATTATGAAGTCTGGATATGTTTGCTCATCAGTTCCACCTTGTGAATTCTTGGTGCTTGAAGCGGAGTAGACTTTGTCTTCAACTTTGACAAAAAGCTTGAGAGGTTTGTTTGCGTCTTTGTCAGTAAATTTGCACGTGATTGTTAATGTACTGCTCTTTGTGATTATTGATTCAGGATCGATCGTAATAGATTCTATTGACGAAGGATTCCTGATTGAGATATGGCCGATGCTAGTCTTATCCGATAATACATTGTTTTCTGCGCCATCTGGACCATTGACTTTTGAAGTGACTGTGGCATAGACATTGATATTGTCTCCTGAGAATGTGTCTGGAATTGAAATAGTCACAGTTGATGAAGCAGATGTGGCATCTTGGCCAACCGTGTAAATCTTATTACCAATACTTGTTTCGTCACTTTCGCCAGTAACAGAAATTGTACCTGAGTATTTGCTATTGACAGTGAAAGTTAAATCTGTTGTTTCTCCATTATGGAAGTAATTAGGCAATGAAACAGGCGATGTTAACTCGATTGTTGGCTTCGTGATAACTTTGATAGTTGATGTTGTTTCACTAGACTTGCCTTTGGTGTCTGAGTTTGGATCTGAATCATCAGTACATATTATTGTGTATTGGATGCCTTCATTAGCTGCATTAAATGTAAAATCAGGAATACTGAATGTGACAGAGCCGTCGCTTTCGGCAGTTCCATCAAGATTAAATGTTGTAAATGCTTCATCTCCATTCTTCTTATAATGGATGTGGAGACCTGACGCTGCCGAATTATCTTCATATTTAACTTTTCCTTTCAAAGTAGATGATCCTCCAACAGAAATTACAGATGGTTCAAATTTCACTTCTGTGAGAATTGGAATTCGCTTAATAATAAATTGAAAATTTTTATAATCGGTACCATAAGTACTTGAGGCAATAACTTTCATTGTGTTAGCCTGACCTCTTATAATTGAGCTCGTTATTTGAAAGTTGAAATCAGTGAATTCCTGATTATTTGTTCCATCTCCGAGAGGAATAATTTTACTGTAACCAGCTTGATCTTGACCATTTAGTTGTATAGTGGGGGTAATGTCTCCACTTCCAGAGACTTTACCAGAAATGTGAATACTGCTTGCTTGTTCATCATATTGTTCAAGTGCAGAGTTGTCTAATACGAGAGATGTTGAGCTAATAATTTTAATTTCTTTCGTATATACATTAGAATTAGTATGTTGGCCAATTGCCTGGATTTTCAGTGTATATATGGAGTATTCTAAAGTTTCTGGTATTGAAATGTCCAAAGTAGGATTTCCACTGACAGTATATTGGACTGCTGGCACCTGTGTTGTCGTTTCACCTTTAATAAATGAAATTACAAAATTGCCTTCTTCGGCAATATTTGCAAGTGTTACAGTTGGTGTGATATGATCATCCTTTGAATAATATTCATATAGATTTGATAAGGTCAGAACCATTTGCTCAGTAATCCTAAGATTTAATGGTTCAACTTCTTCGGATTTGGAATATTCAGTGCCCTCATTATCTGATGCATAGATATAAATTCTATAATCATTTGCTGAAAGACCTTGTAAATTGAGTGTAGCATGCTGTGAAGTTGATGGATCATGTGTTAAAACGCTTCCGATTTGATGATCATTCATTCCTTCAATATGTTGATAGAAATAAATAGTCTTTGAATAGTCACTATCAACAAGCATGAAATCAACTGTAACAACCTCTGATCCGATTTGATATACATTCTGAGATATTTTTAGCCCTGAGATTGATGGTTTATTTCTGATTTTAATACTAATAGTCTGTGTTTGATCAGATTCGAAATAGTCATCTGTAATTTTTACTGTGCAGGTGTATACTTCCTTTTGGTAAACAACATTATTGAGTTTAAAAGTTACAGGAACTTCTTGGTTGCTGGATGAATATGGATAATAATGTGTCAGAGTTTGGGTTCCGATTATGAACAGAACATTTCCTGAGGAATCATCCAAGATACCTACTGAAAACGAAATATCTTCACCAGTATGATAAACAAATTTTGATGGTTGAGTTAGAAAATTAAGTGATGGTTTTCTGTTAAAATAGAGCACTACGGCATAAGAGTCGGAAATTTTGTGTGTAATATCAGAGTTTGGATCAAGATATTGTAGAAAGATCCGATAATAATATCGAACACTCCTTGTAGAACCGCGAGAAAATTGGAATTCCATTGGTGATGTACCTGGCGATTCAAAAGGTGATTCAATTGGTGTCATATCTCGATGTGACATATCACCTTCCATTTTATAATAAAATTGTAATTTTTTGCCTTGGTCAATATCAGAAAATTCAACCTTAACTTTAGCAGAATAATCCGTTATTGCCCCTTGTGGTGCTCTTATATTTAATATTTTTGGTAGGTTTATAATATAGAATTGATAATTTGTATTTCCTGGCATTGATGTTGCCGCGATGTCGTTTTCATCTTTGCATCCTGTTATTGTAATAGTGTGTAGATTGCCATTGTTGTAATGAAGATCAACAATGCTGATGCTTGTAATTTCCTGCGAATTTTCTTGATTTGCCGCATAATCAAAGCTTAATGAAGTACCATCCAATGTGTAAAAGCATTTACCACTTGATGAATCACTTATTTTAATTGATGGTCTTAGAGTTTCAGAATTTGAAAAATTTTTTTGAGTAGGCCAATAAATTGATAGCACTTCTGGAGCTAATTTAAGTGAAATCTGTTTCTCTTTTCTAGCAGAATCAAAAACTTCACTATATGTATGTTCTGCTGCTGAATCTTCGGTGAGATAAAAAGAAAAAGTAATTTGGTTTGGATTTGTACTATCTGGGAATGGAAATTGCCATGTAATTGAACCTGAAGTAGCTATTGAGTCTGAATAAACTTTATGATTATTTAGATATTCACAATGAATATATAAAGTTATCGAACTTGGATTATTGATTTGAAAAGTTAATGTATGTTGAGACTCATATGCAACTGTTTCTTTGTCAATTGAAATTTCTCCAATTGAATAATCAACTTCTTGAACTCTTTTTGATTTCGGAACAAAATTTGTTCGGCTTAATGATGATGGTTTCCCTATACCACTTTTAGCAATGCTTAGAGATAAGAAAGTAGAAAACATCTCTAAAAATGATTTTGTCAGAAAAAAGAAAATTCTGATGCTTTCAAATTTAAATGAGTATTCAAACCATTGAAAAAAAATTCGCCAAAAACCTGATATATGTAATCTTTGTTATGTATTCTTTATATGATTTTTTTTCAATAAAACTCTCAATATTATAAAATTGTATCACCTTTATCGTTCCGAGCTGAAGATATTTATATTAAAATTACAGATTGGATGGAAATGTAATGCATATGATAGGAAAATAATCAATTACGTTTTATTCGCTGATTGAACTCCTCCTTTCAAAATATATTTGATTCAATTCCGATTTTAAGGCCCATTTGATTTGCCCATTTTATTTATTAGAGTTTTTCGATGAATAAATATAAATTAATAATAATTTGTTTAACAAACCTTACCTCTAATTAGAAGATCATTTCTGCTTGCATCAGTAATATGCTAAGATATAATGGAATCTAAATTCTATAATAAATTGTCACATTTCGATTCGTTTTTTTGATATCAATTTTCATATTTAACGTTGTTTTTGACTCAATTTATTAATGCAATAATTCATTCTTTGGTCCTTTTAATTGATGTGCTTTTATAACAAAAGCGATACCTTAAATTCGAGCACTTGTTAAGTGTTTCTAACGACAATAGATGAATTGTTTGTCACTTTTGTCTATACCGACTGAGTTCCTATTTCAATTCCAAGTTTTAAGTCATACTCTGGGAACGTATTTTCAACTAATATTAGAATTCTAGTCAACATATTGCGTTTTTTCTCAGGAAATGTAATGGTATTCTCCAGAATTTCTCACTTAACTTTATAAAACGTAGAATCAGTGTAGATGGTTCATATATCATGACTAGTAGTAATAGTTTTGTAAGAATGAAGTCGAATGAAAAAGAAAATTACAGAAATTCTGATTTGAATATAAGTTTGTATAAAATTCAATGAAAGTGAGATACACCAGACAGGATGTGATTGTCATTGCTGGTAATATCAATTTTTATTTATCTGATATTTGCATTCCTTCCATCTGGATCCATTATTATTAGCAAGAATTATTCTTTGATTGTCCTGAATTCTGAATAAGCTAACTCAAAGATTCGAGATTCAAAAATAAAGATCATGAGTTTATTAAAATTATCGATTTGACAAAGAAATAAATTAAGATTCATTATTTCAATATTTCGTTGACATTAACATTATATTCATAATATCCATCTTATAATCTATTGATGTGAATCTAACTAACCTAATTTAGAGAAATCAGACATTACACTTGGTTGAGTTATTTGAAACTGCGTGGATTGAATCTTATAGATATGAAGAAAATATTTAGTTCTTGCATATATAAAATGCTTACAAATATCAAAATATCATACGCTGATAAGCAAAAATAATAATAAAAAAAAACGTCAAAATGTATGAATAAAAATGCTTATAAAATAAAGAAAGATAAGAAATTATCGGACAAAATAGAAAATGAAGGACCAGCAAAAGCTGTACTTTCAACCAGGTCTAGTTATTATATTCATAAAACTAATACATCCGTTTTAAAAATTAATATTCCTTCAGAACTCATTAACAAACCAGATAATATTAAACCCAGAAAAATCAATTTATCAAATAAAGTGAACTCCGTGTCAAAATCACAAATAATCTCGAAATCAAATAAAACAGCATCCGAATTAATGCAAAATATCGATTTAAATATGGAATTTGGACTTGAATTAGTACCTTTAATATTCTTCGATGATACAGACTTAGAAACTCTAGATTTGACTAAGATTTCAGAAAAATTAGAAAAAGACGAGATAGTAACAGGTCAAACAATCGAATATAATAAAGATACCAAACAAGAAACATGGAAGCAAGTTTTAGTTCTTGGTATTTCCCAAGATTATTCCACATTTTATGTTGAATACATGGATAACGATATTAGGAAATTTGTTTCTAGACTAAATCTTATTTTAGAAGGCGAAAATAAGTCATTATTTTTCGAAAGACGTCAAAAAGCAAAAGATTACAGAGAATCCTTCATGAGATACGAAAGATTTTACTTATTTATGGATAATTACTTGAATCCAAACGAGTCTTATTTGAAACCAAAAGATTTCAAACTTCTTTTATCGAAAATTGACAAAAAATATTTACGAAATTATTTTGTTTTATCAAAAGTTTATAGAGAAGTATGTATGTTGGATGTCATCACGATTTACATGTCGGATTACAAAAATAAGATCACAAAGGACAAGAAATTAATGTTAGAATACGAAAAAAGAAATTTTCCAAAAATATCTGATTTTCCTGTCACTTTTGTAAGTTTTCCAAAAATTTTTGATGTTAAAATTGATATTAAAAAAGAAATGGAACTTATTAGATCAGTTGGCGACATTATCAAAGTAAAACAAAAAGCAAGAAGTTTTATAACAGAAAAATTCATTGAATTTGACGATAAAATTTCAGATGTCATTGAGTTTTGTAAGAAAATACGAGAAAGTGTCAAAAACAACGTAAATCAAATCTTTATTTCGAGAGTTTCCGAAGTTTTGCAAATGATAAAGAAACTCAAGAATTTTGACATGAATTTGGCAAAAACCGTTGACAAAATTATAGTTAGAACAATATCAGAAGTAACAAACAACATGATCAACGAATTCAATGATTTTCTAAACGAAAAAGTCACTCCTTTCAAGAAAGTTTTTACTGATGAATCAGAAATGAATTTGAAAAGTGAAATGACCGAATTAAATCTGACAATTGAATATATTGTTAACTGCTGGGAAGAAGCCAATGTTTATACAATCGGCAGCTTGTTTTTAAAGGATAATTTAATATTCAAACCTCAGAAAGAAATTGTTGAAAAAAGTTTGGAAAAAATCCGACTATTTTTCGAAAAATTCATTGATAAACCAATTGATTTTATCAATGAAAAAGTTACTGAATTTGACGAGAAATATCGATATGCTTTCTATTACGAGTTCTATGATACAAATAGGATTATTGATACAATTGATATTGATCAAATTATCTGTTTTCATCAATTATCATTTGATTGTTTGCCGCCAACGAATTATTTGACAGAAAAAATGATAAAAAATTTCATTTACATTAAAAATGAAATCAAAGATTTGATAAACGAATTGATCAGAACAAAGACTGTTTATTACATGCCGCTTTTAGTCATTGATTTCACTTATTTAGCGAGAGAAAGTTTACATAATTTGGAATACATTCTCAAAAACATTGATTTCTTTTTGTTCAGACACTGTTTGTCTGCAATTGAATCTCAGTATTCTCTGTTAGAATTTACAAGGAATTTGCTGAAAGTTGAACCAGTAGATTTGTCATCTTTTATTGTTCTGAAAAATGACATGGACAAAGCCTTTTTGATTTTAGAACAAATTAATAATGAAGTTTCTAATATCGAAAAAATAATTGAAGAATTACAAAAATCTTTTTCACCTTTTTCGTTTAAAGCATCAAGATTTTTGTTTAATTTCGGGTTTATGCTGTCGAAATTCACAAAAACTTTGCCATTGAGACAAAGTGAGCTCAAGGAAAGAAGGATACTGATCAAAACAGAATATGATGAAAAAGAAAACAATTTGTTGATTGAATATAATGAGTTGGATTCACAACTAAGTTTATTGTTGAGACAGAATTTTACAAAAGAAATCGAAAAAGTAGCAAAAACTGCCGAAGAATTGTTTTCTAAATACGAATCAGCATGTAATAAATACGCTGAAATCAAGCGTGGTGATTCATATTTAGAGCGACAAACCTTTGACGAAACAAAACTTTTCGAAGGCCGGAGATTGTCAAATTGCTTGATGAAATTATGGGTCTCAACAAAAGAATATTCTATGGAAAACGAGAAAATTGCAGGAACTCAGATAGGATTGATTGATACAGAAGAGATATCAAAGAAGTTTGAGAAGTGGGTCGGTTCTATCAATGATGCTTGCGACGGATTAAAAGAATTCCAGATTCCAAGAAACATCGCGATTTTGGTCGAATCAAATGTGAAAGAATTCAAAAGTTACATTCCAATTATTAATGCTTTGAGTTCTATCTACTTGAGGAATAGGCATTGGACAATGATCAATGACTTGTTTAAGTTGGATCATCCTTTAGATCAAAGCGCAACTCTCTATTATTTGATAGATATCATTGTTTTGAACAAAGAAAAAGAAATCATGGATATTGTTAAAATCGCAGAAAACGAATATATTTTGGAAGATTTCCTCGACGGAATCATCGCATCTTTCTACGATTGGACATTTTCAATCACGCTTTTCAACTGCTCCAATTTCATTAAGGAAGGAATCTCCAGATTACAAGATCAAATGAGAGACTTGAGAAAAGTGAAAAAATCAAATTTCAAAAATCTTTTTTTGCAAAAAATAGAAAAACATGAGAATTTTGTCACTCAAATGCAAGATTTTGTTACGTTATTGAGAAAGATATACAATCTATATCTATACCAGAACGATTTCATGGAAGCTGAAGATACAATTTCCCATCAATATTCGTTTTATTTGACGTTTGGAGACATCAAATCAAATTTAACTGATTTGTTGTCAAAATGCACTTGTTGTGTTTTATCCATATCTATGACAGAGAAATTAGAAGTAATATATGATAAAATTAGGGAACTCAAAGAAAAGATTTATCCCTATTTGCAGAACAGAAGAAAAGAATACTACAGATTGCAATATTTAGCAAATTCTGAGTTGTTTAATTACATTTCTTCAACGAAAAATCCAGAAAGATTTTCAGAACAAGTTAAATCATTGTTCCCTTCTCTGGATGGAATGATCATAGAGAACAACAAGATCATTGGCGTGATAGGAAAGAACAGTGAGCAACTGAGGCTTAATCCAATAGAATACGACATCAAAGACGTCCCTCTTTTGTTGAAAACAATTGAAATGAAAATTGAAGAAAAATTGACAAAAACAGTTATTGATATTGCAGACAAATCTGAGAAATATTTCTTGGACAGAGTTCCCGCTTTAACATACCAAGAGATGTTTGTTATTTTGAACTTGAAATTCACAAAATTTGTCAAAAACATTACTTCAGAAAAAGAATTCAGCATTGCTGTTGATAGAATCAACAATTTGAAGAAATCGATATCATTTTCATGTGCAAATCAGATAACAATCAACTCGTTGGACTCTTTGTTTGATTACTTCGAATTGCTTTTGAACCAAATTGCCCAGCTAAACTCATGGAACTTCAAATTAAATGAAAGAGCAGCAAGTAGAAAGAAAATCACAATGTCCACTTTCGTTGAAACTAATTTGTTAAAACCAGTTGCTTCTCAGTCATCTCTTTCTTCTATTCTAAGTAGACCTCCTTCAGACATGAGTGAAGAAGCCAATAAAGTAATGGAATCGCCAACAACAAATTGGTCGCAAATAATAGAAGCATTCAACAATCCAAGCGAAAGAAAATCAAATGATGATTTGTTACCAGAAAATTCATTGACTAAGTCACAAGAAATTTTAACTCAAAGTCAATTAAATGTTCAACCAAAATTAAACAAAACAATGGAAGTAAAGCAAACTCCACGAGGAGTTGCTTCACAGAAGTCAATGATCACTTTCCAGCATTTAACGAGAAAAAAAGAATCAACAAGCCAAAGACTTGGAATTCCTGCTGTTTCTTCTTCACTTTCCATTCTTTCTAATTCTTTGAATCAAATGTCTGACAACGAAAGCGATGATTCTTCTTTGTCTTCTTTCAAGAATTTTTCAATAAAGCCACAGAACTCCGCTTTCTTCAGACCTGGAGAAGATAAATTCCTTAACTTGCCGTATTTCACGTCTTCCATTGATTTGCCTGATTTTGCTCAGTTTGTTTTGGATGAAAACAAAGTTTTTGTCAAATTTAAAAACTACAAAATTAATTACGGCTTCGAATTCATTCCTAATACCTTTAAGATGGATGACATGCCCACATTTGATGAACTATTAGGATTCGTAGAAGCAGCATCTTATAACAACTGTTGTTGTATAATTCACGATTCTTTAGTTTCAAACAAATTTGTCAATTTTGTGGCAAAATTTTTAGGGAAATTTGTTTTTTCTGTTCACTCAAGTTCTGAATACTTCAGTGAATCAATAGATAATCTGCTTAATTCCTTAGATATGGAGAAAGTCTGGATTCATCTTGAAGACTTTGACTTCCTAGAAAATTCGATTCAACTTTCGATTTCTTACAAATTGAAGAATTTCAATGGTTTATTGATTACAAGTGGTTTCTTTATTTCCCAAGTATTGTATACTTTCATGAGACCAGTGATAATTGATGAAGAACTTTTCGAATGGCAGTTTAACGTAATAATTGGTTCCAATTACGAAGAAAACAAAAAACAAATTTTGAACTATTTCAATAAAAATGACACAAACTTGGTCGAAATCAACAATAGGTCAGAAATAGAGAAGAAATCATTAACAGAAGAAGACATATTATGGATCCATCATGTTCCTTCTATGTCTGATTCTTCCATTTATGAATTCGAATTTCCTTATTTGGAAATTGAAAATTGTTCGAGAATTAAAATTCCTTCGAATACAAAAGTTGTCTTTGAATCATCATCTGTTGACAAAGTTCCTGAATTATTAAGAGATTACTGTAATTTTATAACTTACAGATCGATAAATTCAGATTTTTGGGATTTGTACAACATCTTTCCCCAAGAAATCGTCAACTTTTTTATTGGCCAAACATATATTTATTCAAATTTGCAGACTCTGTCATTTACAAAGTATTTAAGTGCATCTTTGACTTCTTACAAACCAGAAGAGAAACAAAGAATTATTAATGCTCTGAAAATTGATTTCGAAAAGTTGGAATTAAATAATGTTGTAAATTGTTTCTTGCAATCAAAGGAATCAGTGATAATTTACGGAAGTACAAAGATTAAGATGCAAATTTGGTTGTATTCTTTCTTATTTAAGTATTGCGATGATTATACATTTGTTTTTGATGAAGAACAAGCAACAGAATCAAATGTTTGTGTAATATTTAATGATGTTGACTTCAAAAAACTACAAAAACATCAACAATATTTAATTTTGTATCCTGATTACAAAGATTTTGCATTTGAACTGTCTTATAGATATGTTTTCTGTCCAGGACAATTAATCAAATCAAATGAAAGACAAGAACTCCAAAATTATGATGATTTTAAACAGAAAATTAAAGAAAATATGTCATCAATTTCTCTTATATCAAATCAACAACAAAATCCAATAGAAATTGAGAATTCTTTTGTTTTGGAAAATGAAAATGATATTGATTCCCTACAAAAAGGTTTTGATGAGAAAAAGAATGTTATTATTTTAAATCATCCGAATACAAAAATTCCTAATCTTTTGAGTATCAAATATCCAAAAGAAGGAGATGATAAATTATCTCAGAAACAGTACTTCCAAAGATTAACTGAATTCAGATATGTTTTTGTTACATATTTCAACATTCCAACTTTCGAATTTTACTCAAAAACATTGTTTAATGAAGCCCAATTTGTTTATGATGAGAAGGAAAAGAATCTCGATGATTTTGTCATTGATAAATTTTCATTTGCAACAGAACTTGCTTCTAAAATATATTCAGTCAAGACGTATATCTCTGCTGTTGATAGAATCAAGAAATATGCTTTTGATTTGTATAATTACTTTAATCCTATTTTGGAGAAAGAAATTTCGAAAATAGAAAATTTCATTAAAAATTTGATGAAATTAATTGATTACGAAACAAAATGCCAAAATGAAATAGATGAAAGCAAAGCAGATATTGAGCATTTGGAGACACAAATCTCTCACTTTGATGAGCTAATAAAAGAAAGTGAAGAAGAATTATATCAAAAAAGAGAAATTTCAAAAATTGAACACAACAAACTTGACAAAAACTATGATTATTTGAAGGAAGAATACGATGATATCAAGAGAAAACAGGATGTAATTGTTCCTAAAATACAAGAGAGTGTTGATTTCATAACTAATCTAGATAACAACTCTCTGCAAATGTTTAAAGCAATTAGATCTCCAACTCCTTCAATTTTACCACTTTTCCAGGCTTTTTGTGTTCTTTACGATGTAAATCCAATTGTTACTGAAGTAGGTAGAAATAAGAATTTCGATTATTTCACTCCGATGCAGAAAGTCATTCAGAGTGCAAACTTTTCTAATTCCATGCCAAATTTCGGTTTGAATTTCATAAATCGAACGAAATTGTACAAAATTAAGAAGATTTTAACAGATGGAGGCGGTTTGTTGGATCGAGCAAGCAAGGTAAATAAAGATTTCAGCAATATTGTGAACTGGTTCCACATGATTTTGGTTTTCAACGAAGAATCAGAAAGTTTGAAACCTCTTTCAGAAAAAGAAAGAATTTTCGGACAAAAAATCAAAGAAATCGAAATAATTTTCGAAAATTTGGAGAAACAGATACTTCTGGCTCAGTCTAAACATGATGATTTAGTTAATCTTAAGCAGAAGACAATAGAAAGAAAAGAAAACCAAATCAAAAACCTCGAAATCAAATTGCAAAGTTTCAAGAAAGTTCAAAAATTGAATAAAAGAGTCAAAACAGAACTTGAAAAATTAAATGAGAAAAATAACGAACTAAAAAGTGACAAAGAAAGATCAATTGAAACATCTTTTATTATCTCATTGATATCTATCGTTTTAAGTGCTATGAATGGGCAGAGGCATTTGCAATACCATAATTTCATTCAGAGGAATTTTGCAAAAATCGAAATTTCAGAAAATTTGTTCGGAAAACACTTTTACTCGAAAATCAAAGATTTTGGAATTTTAAATGATGAAATTTTGACAGAAAAAGTGATTTCTTTATTGAATCCGATTAAGAATCCTTTGATCTATGATCCAAATGGTTTCGGATTTTATTTAGTCAGATATTTATTCCCAGAAAGTCAAATTTTATCATCACGTTTTGACAAATTTGACGAATCCTCACCAGTTATTTTGATTTCGAACGATCCAACTGATATTCTATATTTCATCGACTCAAAGAAAAAGAGATTCATCTTCACATCACTTGAAATCGAACAGATGCCAGATAACATTCAAAATGCGACAATTTTTATCAATTTTTCAAATTTGAATTTGATGTCAATTTTCAATAAATTATTGATAAATGAAAAAACGAAAATTGATCAGCAATACATGGTTTCTCTTCAAGAAAAGAGAAATGAAGAAGTAAAATCACTGGAAATGGTTTATACTAACATTGGAAATACTTTTGATGAAAACTCTTTCGTTATGGAAAGATGGAAATCGTTAAGAGATCATTTCAAAGACAAAAGAAACAAAATTGAAGAAATTGACCAAAAATTGACATCTTTAACTGAAAAACTGACAAAAATCGAAAATGAAGAAAAAGAAAATTCGACATTAATCATGAAAATGTACAATGATTTCATTCCATGGTTGAATTACTCGAATTATTCTCCTGTTTTTCCGATTTTCTTTTCGATTTTGAAACAAAAAATTGACAAAAAATTTGACATCAATGAAATTCAACATGAGTTTATTAAGCTTATGTCATTGTCCATGGGCAAATCAATTGTTGCATTTGAAGATAATTATGATATCAAGTTTTCCGACAAAATTAAATTTAATTTCAAAGATTTTAATTTGTCAGAATTCATTTTCGGTCATTCCAATGATATTCCATTGCTATTAGAATGCAATCCAAGAGATGATCCAACAAATCTCCTTCTCAATATCAACAATTCCAAAGTTCTCAATCCTTTTGATGAAAAATATGATAAAAACATATTAAGAAACAGAGGATTAGTAATTGTCAGATATCCAGAATTTTGTGAATCATCTCTTAATAAGATTTCATCTTTTGTTTCACGTATATTGACCAATCATTCATTCCCATCTGAATTTAGACTGGTTATTTTAACAAGTTTATCACAAAATAGTCTTCCATGTTCATTGAATACGCTATGTTTTAATGCAATATGGCCTCCTCCATGTCCTCCTTCGGTAATTTACGGAAAATCAAGTTTGATTTCATTGGCAAGTCCTTTGTTAATGACTTTCAGAGTTGTTAGTTTTTGTCGTTATCTTCCTGATATTTTTGATGATGAACAATTTGGAAAAGAAGATGTTGATAAATTATGGCTTCAGAATGTATCAGATAAACTTTCAATGAAAAGGTTACTTGATTTGGAAGGTTTTGAAGGAAAGAACTTAATAATTTCGCCGAAATATTTCGAAGGCTCTTCTGAAGTCAATACTATATACGGAGTAAATTGTTTGTACGATGAAGTTTCAGGAACGTTTGTTTTACAAAAATCAATTTTCCCAAGATACATCAAAAAACTTTTTGTTGCAGTGACAGATCCAAACGACCCAAATTTGAATTGCCAGCTACTAAACAGTACAGATAGAAGCTGTGTTGATGTTGCTGTTGAAGGATATTCAGATCTTGTTTTTATATATGAATAATTTTTGTTTTATATTATAAACATGTTTTGTTATGCATAATTTTTATATTTTTATCATATAATTTTCGAGTAATTGGCTAATAATTTTGAGATATATCTTGATGAAACAGATATCTGGCTCAGAGTTTATGGAAATGTATTAATCATATAATACATACAATTGGCCACTGCAGATTTTATAGATTTTGGGAAATTGTAATGACCAACATTTCTGGCATTTTATTGTTTAGTGAAATTGCCATATTTTTAATATATGGCTTGTTTTGTATTTCCTGTAAAAAATTTGACTGAACAATTCTCAAAAGAGCAATTTTTTACAATCTTTGAAAATTTCTGAAATGTCATCGGGAGATCTTGTTTCAGAGCTCCCGCATAATATGCAAAAGGAATTTGAGTATGATAGGCATTCTTATACCCCACAGCCTCGTAGGACTGCAAAAATATTTGATGATGATGAAGTAAGTCAAAAATTATCTTACATCGAAGAAAAAGCAAGCCTCATTGAAGAAATTTCACAAAAGAATACACAAGCTCATTCAAAATGTATGAAACTACAGTATGAATTATCATCAATTACGAAGACACTTGATAAAAACGTTGATTTTATACTGAATGCCTGCAAAACACAAGAGGCTGCAAACGAAAAACTCTCAAATGAGATCAATAATCTTGAGAAATACCATGGACGACTCCAATTTTTGATCGATGCCTGTGCGAATCACGGTATTGACGTTCGTGAAATACCAGGATTAGATCAAGATAAGCTCTCTCAGTATTTCGATATACCTCTTCCGATCGCAAAAGGCGAAATTTTAGATCCAACAATCAAGTTTTTAATTTCAAAGTACCAAATATTCTCGAGGTGTAAAACGAATCAAGATTTCGTACGCAAATGCTATGCCATCAAAGAAGAAGTCGAAAAACCAGAAGAAGCAAGATGGAATCATTTACAAGAAAAAGATCCGGCTGAAAGAATCTTCTTCCTCAAAAAGTACTTGAGAGAGCTTAGACAAAGTAACGCAACCATCACTGCAAGAATGTCAAAAGAATTAAAAGTATTAACCGATGAAAGAGATGATCTTCTTCATCAGATTGCACAACTACAACAAAAAAGGCGATCAAAGAAGAAGTAAGATGATTTTACTTTGATTTGTTTGTTTATATAAATTGTTATTTTTTTAATTGACTTTTTTTTATCTTATCTAGTGTTACTCATAACAATTCACAACAGAAAAGTGATAATATTTTCAGTGCCTCTTCTCGTTAAACTCTAGAAGACTTTTCCCCTCTCAAAAACTACATTTTATATCGTTCTTTTCCCCGCTTTTTTGCAGCCTTACGCCTGTTAAACTCTTTTTGAGAGGATGCCAGAAAGTATCAAGTGCACCCTTAAAAAGTGGTCGCTTGTTAAAAATTGATAGGTGTGATGAAAGCTCAATTATTTTTTATATCCAACTAAATTCATCTTCAAAAATACCAGTAAAATAAAGAATGGTATCTTATCTAAGAGCATAACTCGCGCCATGCGAAATGAGTACTTTTGCAGTTTCTTTACTATAATGATATGCTGCAATATGAAGTGCTGTTTCTCCATTTTTATTTATTTCATTGATATTCGCACCGTGCGAAATAAGAACTTCCACCATTTCTTTATTTTGTAAAAGTGTTGTAATATGAAATTCTTATTTTTCATTTTATCCAAAAGATGAAAAATTGAATTAAAATTATTAAAAAGACTAAAAGCATAATTCTACATAATATTCTAACACCTAAATTCAATATTTGTGATTTCTATATTCACAATTTTAGTTGATTTTATGAATAGCATATACATTCAGTTTAATGTATTGAATTACATTTTCACTAAATAATCAAATTAAATAATATCATTAAATTTTGAATGGCCGATAAACTTCGATTCCACAATAATACGCTCCTAAAATACTGTGACTAACTATTTCGTATATTGATATGACATATACAATCACGAAAATAACTAAAAATTGTAATGTATTTATTAATTCGACATAATATTTGCATAATTCTTTTCTTCACTTTATATTATATTTGAATATTGCAAAATAAACTAATAAATAGCAAATAAACTTTGCAATCAAATTAAAGAGTTATTCGATACAGTGAGTTGATAATAACTGTACAATACAAATTTATTGAATTCGCCCAAAAGTATTTAAATGATCCGTCTTCTACAAAAAAAAAATCTTAATTACAAGTAACCACTTGTATTAAATGCATCTTCAATTCTATCTCCATAAATATAGACATATCATGCATAACTCATGGCGAAGTGACTGTACAGTTTTCTTTCTATTGTATTCCAACTTCCTCCACTGCACATCCCCATCCTGGAAAACTCCTTAACTATAAGAGGTGAATTTATATTAAAATGAGGTGCTGCTTCTAATATCTTGAATATTTATTTTGGAACCAGATGAAAGAATCAACTCACATGTTTCAATATATATATATATTTCATCACTGCTTTATAAAAGCAATTTGCTTGTTCTAATCTTCAACATTAAGACCAAGACCCTTTGAAATAAGAAGCTCTGCTGTTTCCTTACATTCATAACAATATACTGCATTATGAAGAGCCATTTGGCCTGAACAATGTGAACAAAGAAACTCTGATTAATCTTTTCTATTTAATTGGGCGGATATATGAAGAACAGAGTAACTTGATCCATATTTTGTAATAATATATTCACAATTGATATTTATTGATAGTTAATCGACATTTTTGGTTTGCTGAAGCAATATCTAAATTGAGTTAATACTGTATCAGCATCATTGCACCATGTGAAATAAGAAGTTCGATTGTTTTTGTACTATTATACAATGCTGCAATATCAAAAGCGGTTTGTTCATCTTTATCTTTTTCGTTGATATTTGCACCATGTGAAATAAGAAGTTCGGCTATTTCTTTATTATTATAATGTGATGCATAAGGAAGAGCGGTTTGTTCATCTATATCTTTCTCATTGACATTTGCACCATGTGAAATAAGAAGCTCGGCTGTTTCTGTACTATTATGTTCTGCTGCAATATGAAGGGCGGTTTCACCATAGCTGTCTTTTTCATTGATATTTGCACCAATTGAAAGGAAACATTCGACAAGGGATGGAATATTATACTGCGGTGAATAAACAAAACATTTGTTTAAATCATTAGTTTGATCGAAATAAACTAAGAATGATTCAAGATTATGAAACAATCCACAACATCTTAACTCAATCTCTATATTGTATTCATTCATCAAGAATGTAACAAAATCAATGTTGTGTGAAATAATTGCATATTCCATACATTCTTCATCTGGTTTTTTATATTTCAAACATTCACTCATGATCTCTGGATTTCCTCCTAAAAATGAAAATGCTAGACATGTTTCAGTTATTTCTGAGTCACAATCTGTTCTTAATAACTTGAAACAATCAACTGCTCCATGGTAACAACATAATTCAAGTAATGAATATCCTTTGTTAGAATATGGATATACCCTGCTTATAAGTTTTTGATCTTGATCAAACCCATCTATTCCAGTGAATGCGATGAATCTTTCTTTGTCATCATTCATAATTGCTCTGTAGATTGTATCTTCTGTATGAATATCGAGATTTTTAAAATCAAATTCTCCGAAATCAAAATATTTGTCTAATATAATTCCATATTCTTTATAAAACAGGAATTTTGAGACAAATATGTGATTGTTGACTTCTTCCACATGATATTCATCATATAAGAGTTTGGCAAGAAATAAATATGACTTTGCATAGCGATTATTATACGGAATGATATCTAAAATGTCTCCAATAAGCTTTTTGGGTGGATATTTCTTGGAATCAATCAATACTGTTTTGATCATTTTGTAAATACGATTTAATTCTTCTTCATTTGTCGTTTTTAACTGGTACAGTGCAATGTATGAATCGATATAGTATTTGTTGATATTTCTCAATTCACTGAATTTATTTGGATGATTGTCCTGATCAGACATTAATAATTTTTAAAATGGACATATTTGCGTTTTACCATATTAAATACCCAGTATATCCATTAGAAGAAAAAATATTATGTTATGCATGTGGAAAACAATGGCAAAAAAAATCAGATATTGATTATGAATTTTGATGAAATTAATAGATATGAAATGATGTGATAACAATATAAATGTTGATGGCAAGAGAATTTTCATTAAGATACTTGGATTATTCAAGATATTTGCCAACTATTTTAAAATTCGATTCATAAGCTCTCATATATTAGGTAAATACTATATTATACACGTGCGCTTAACATCATTAAAAATTGAAAGGGCTTATTAATAATAAAAGTTGCTCTAAATCGATTTAGATTAAAGTATTATAAAAGTTGTTAATCCGAAAGACTATGAACTCAATTCATGTTTTTAGTAAAAAATTTGTATAGTCAAATCATTAACTTAGAAAAATGAATATCGAAATTTAAAATTCTTAATAAAATTCTTTTATTCTAAAACTATTAATAATTTTTTACTTGTGAAGTACATTAGTAGGCTATTTTTGATTGCATATGATTAGATAATTTGGAAACGATTAAATAGAGCTTAATATGCTTGTGAAATCAAAAATAAAGGTATATTCTTTGGATTTTGAGATGCTGAATTCTGTTTTGGATTTTTGATTAACAATATATTTGAACCAAAGTAATATAGTGTTCGAGCAATTCTTAACGAACAGCATGGTCAAAGTAAATCATCGCTTCATTACCTTAAAGAATAGCATCATTTAACGCCTTAACGTTATTTTGGATTTTTAAAAAATCCAGTTTTGGATAAAGATTTAAACTTGATACATTTGTCAATCCTATGAAATAATTCACATTATTATTGCATGAATTTATTCTTGATTTTGGAGGTTGAATTTTTGTTAGCTTTACAAAATCTGATCGTTATTTTATCGCTAACAATCATTGTTTTTTCAAATAATAATACTATATTATATTTATTAGTCCTAAATATCAAAGATCTCACAACTCTTATCAATCAATATAGGAGTTTAAAAAAATGGGTGAGTTGGTTGATGTTTCTCTCTTTCTCGATAATAGTACTATTGCTTCTCTTCGCGGGAAGGTTTTTGGTCATGATGGCTCAATCTTGACGTTCAAAGAAGGTGTGATCGCCAAGAAAAGCCGACCGAGAGAATTTATCTTCTATAGAAACAAAAAATCATGGATTAATGATTTAGTAAAAGAAAATATATTCCCTAAAGTTATTGGCCTTGCATATATCGAAAGTCAGGATGGAGATAATTATAGATTTAAGCTTGATCCTACTTTGCTTACTAATGAAAACGAAATGTTACCTTGGCTTATGTTAGAAGATCTTCAAAAAGGATACGCAAAGCCGGCTGTTCTTGATGTAAAATTGGGAACTCGAACATGGGAAATGGGCGCAGCGAACGATAAAGTTTTGAGGCATAAAATGAAATGCTCTCAAGGCACTACAGGTTCATTGTATTTTCGTGTTCGCGCTGCGATGTGGTATTCTCCAAATCCAGATGATTGGCCAAAAGACGGAGATGCCTCACTTTTAAAGAGAGACTTTGGAACAACATGTACTAAGGAAGAGCTAATGAAGTTCTTCTCAGACTTTTTCCATGTTAAGGATCTTGTTCCAAAATTTATAGATAAAATTAAAAAGATTATTGAAGGAATTACGATTCTCCGTCAAGAGGCGGATGTCAGAATTTATAGTTCTTCAGCATTATTCGTATATGATGCGGAAGACCCTTCAAAATTCGATTGCAGACTTCTTGATTTTGAAAAAACTTACTTCAACGTAGAAGTCTCGGCAAAAAGGTTCAATGAGTCAATAGAAGACTGTGAAGACTCAGTGATTCCTGCCCTCGAAGAACTCGTACATTGTTTGAATGCATTATAATATATTTTTATAATAAATTTTTGTTTGTATTTTCTAGCAAAATAGTAATATCACATCACACACATTGTAAACACTAAAGTATAGCATTCTCCTTCAAAAATTTATGTCCAATTTTTTTTATCAACAAGATTTTCACTTTTCTTGATTTGATTGGTTCATTCAATTTTTTCTGAATAAAATCATTGTTTTTTATATTAAAAAAAGTGGGTGAACCGTGAATCGAACACGGATCTATTGAGCCACAATCAACAATACTAACCATTATACCATTCACCCCTTACATTTTATTTATTTTCTATTATCTAGTAATATAATCTTCAAATCATTCCGATCAGATCCGAAACATTGAATTTTAGGCGTGTGGGCAATTTTAACGACATTTTTTAACGCGATACGAGCGTAAGTCCATAGAATGTGTTTTGAGGGAAACTATAAAAATCCAAAATAGAGGTAAGTGCGCCATTATTACCTGCGAAGTTACATGGAATAAATCGAAGAGTAAGTACAAGATGATCTTGCATCTTTCCAAGTAAATGAAATTTATTAAAATTAAGATGATAATATTCATTTATAGTATGTGTATGATGTGTTTTCAAAATTTCTTCAAATAAAATGCAATGATAATTTTGGAATAAATTTTTTCTTTGTGTATATTTCATTTTTTATTAGTGAAAATATCATTACATCAATAAGGAAAGCACAATCCAAATTCATATTAGTTAAATTAATCTACGACCAAAAGCCCGCCAAATTTGAATTAAACACGTTTTTTGATAAAAGTGTCATTTATGATTGTTGCATTTAGGGATAGTAGCCAATTTCGGTACAAAAAAGGTAGTGGGGCTTCCAGGCGCGTTGCGCCCTCTAGCCCTGAAGATGTTTAGTATAAATGAAGTTTTTATTCGGAAAATTGTTAGTCTTCTGGTGTGAATTCGGAGGACTCTTCTTCTTCCTCCATTGCTTCTGGGAAGAAGCCTTCTTCTGGGTCGAAAACATTATATAATGTGTCACTTTTCACAAATTATATATGTTTTCATGATTTGTCACTTTTCTGTCACTTTTCGGGTAAAAACATTTTTATTATTATATATAAATGAATTTTACAAAACCACCGTTACCGTTCTTTGGAAATAAGAGTAGATGTAAAGATATTATATTGAGAGAACTTAAGAAACTACCGAATGGTCTAACATTTGTAGATTTGTTCGGTGGAAGTTTCTATATATCCCATTTGTGCCATACAATATTCCCAGACTCAAAGATTATATGCAATGACTTCGACAACTATATGGACCGTCTCAAACATATTCCAGACACAAACAATATATTGAAAGAGTTAAAAGAAAAGATTCAGATAGGTAAGATGGAACGTATACCATTAGATAACAAAAATATTGTGAGAGAGGTTTTGAAAAAAGCAGAATATATAGACTGGGATAGTATATCTGCTAGACTATTATATAGTGGTTCTATAAGAGTTCATGACATTGAAACACTTATGTCAAAAGTTTTATATCTTAACTATACAAATGTTTTCAAAGAGGACATAGAAAAATATATTGAGGGTATAGAGTTTGTGAGATGTTATTGGACAGAGTTGTATGAAAAATATAAAGACAAGGAAAATTTTTTCTTTATAGTGGACCCGCCGTTCTATAACACATGGGATTTTCAATACCAAGTAGACTGGACTTTGAGAGACTCTTTAGAAACTTTAGACGTTTTACATAACCATCCATGCTTTTACTTTACATCCGATAAAAGTGGTTTGGAAACCGTTATGAGATGGTTAGAGGACATACATGACTATGAGTTTAGATATGACAAGATAGAATATGAGAGAGGTCCTATAAACCGGAGAAAGTGTCATAACAAAGAAATTTTATTAGTAAGTAAATGTGGTTTGAAATAGGACTACTTGTTTTAGGTTTTTTCATTGTGTCATTTTTTATTTGACGTGGCAGAAAAGTACAGAGAATATGAAGATGAACCAATGCCTGCAAATGTTCAGTATATGTACTCGTAAGAGATATTTTTATCTAATATTAAATGGACGCACAGACTTAGCGAATGCACAGCAACCTGGACAACCAAACCAGAGAATATTCCAAATGAAGTTAGAATACAAACTGCAATGGCAAACTATGGTCAAGTGCCAACAGATGTACAAATGCAAACTGCCATGTCAAATGACGCTGCGTTAGGTTTGCACATGGTATGCAAATATGAGATGGAAAGAGTTTTATACAACCCTGAAGTGGGATATAAACAACTTTATGCAGATGACGCGAACACAGGAGTTGACCCAGAATATGTTTTCTACCAGAGGAGAAACAGAATGTATGAGCTCCAGTTAAAGAATGCTATGGAACTCAACAGGAAACGCAAAAAGACTAGGTGGACATTAGATTTTTACATATAGTAAAATGGGTTTCTTCAGTAGTATTGGAAACTTCTTTCGAAATGTTGGAAGAGGTATATGGAATGGAATAAAAACCGTAGGAAGAGGAATTTGGAACGGAGTCAAAAAATATTGGTAAAAGAGTAGGTCAGTTTGTTGGTATTATACCTAAAGACCCTGAACCAGAAGAGCAAGCTCCTGTTATACAACAGCCTGAACCTGCACCACAGTCTAGTTGGCAACCAAATCCAACACCTCAACCGTATTAAAAAATTATATTTTTTACCGTTCGATAGTAGTTGTATATGAAACTAAGTTCTAAGTAAAACGCATGGTATAATGGAATTATTCTTTTTCTTCCATCTGTAGTAAACCATACTTGAAGATCTGAAATACTTCCACTCGGCGGTTCATATAACTTTGTAGGTTTTTCGTAAAAGTCATTTGCCAAGCATAAGAAAGAGTTTTGGGCGCCAGAAAATGAAGCATGAACAATAATAGCAGCTGGGTCGAAAACATTTTCATATGTTCCATTAGGGTTTTCGACTTCATAAAAGTCTGGTGTGTACTGGATATGCTGCAGGCTGATTTAACATCCTCATAAATCTATACCATGCCAAGTTGTTATATTTTGTAGAAATATAAACGTTTTCTCCAAGGTCTTCTATTCTATTGATTTTAACAGTTGCATTTTTCCTGTCATAAATAATATCGAGATGGTACTCTCCCTCGTCAATGTTATACTGGTTTGCATATTCGATATAGATATCGTTTATTTTTTCTTGAAAAGCTTGAAGAGTTGTTTCTAAGTTTACAAGCAAACTAACTTGTAAAAGTTTTCCCTGTTCAATTTTCTCATACATACGTTTTTCTTTGTTTAGTATCGAACTTCAAAACCGACCGTAAATGGGAAACCATGTATGGCTTCTGAAATGAACTTCATTCTACGAAAGCCAATAGCTTTTGTGACAGATGGGTCTCTTAGCCATCTTAATGGGTAGTCAAAACGATAGCCTTCATGCTTTACGGTCTCTGTCTCAAACTTTTGACCGACATTAGTAAAAAGTTCATCTAATGGTTTAGTTGTAGCAACTCTTGAATTTTCTTTTTTTTCTATTGAAAGCATATTTTATCTAGAATAAAAATGTCGAAAGATATTGCTTCCATGAGAGAAATACAACACAACCGACAACTCATTATGCAAGCTCTAAATAAGAACACAACAAACTTTTCAAACTATTCTAAGATATCTGAGTCATTGAAAGAAGGAAACTTAAAACTGACATTAAACCCAATGACAGATGAGTTTCTATTTCAAGACAAGAAGAACAATACTGTCTGTATAAATCCAACAAAAGGAACTTTAAACGAGAAACCTATAAATGAACTCTTTTGAAAGCAGATGTTGACAACAAAGCTGACAAAGAATATGTAGACGATGCAATAGCAAAAGAAGAAGAAAGAGCTAACAATGCTTATGCAACAAAAGAACATACTCATCCTGAACTAGCAGACAAAAAATATGTTGACAATAAAATGTCAAGTGAAGTGACAAGAGCTGAAAACGAATATTCTAAAAAGACTCATACACATTCTATATCTGAAATAACAGACTTAAACGTTAGCCTTGAAAAGAAAGCGGATAAGGAATGTGTGGCTAGTGCGTTAGAGAAGAAAGCAGATAAGGAATATGTGGATGAAAAAGATAAAGAAATTATAGAAAGGGCTGACTGGTATCATGAATGGACATCGAAGATTTTAAAAACTAAAGCCGATACAGGATGGGTTTCAGGATGTTTAGACCTTAAAGCAGATAAAACTTATGTTAACGATGAGTTAGAGAAGAAAGCAGACAAGAACCATACACATACAAGTTTTACAACTTTTACAGCAGATGATATTACACTAAACACAACCTTGCCAAGTAAAGGTCCAACAATACCACCGGCAACAAGTCTTGTAGATACTTTGATATCTAATGACAATAGTATTATGCATCTAAGACAGGAACTCAATGTGCTTAAACAAATTTTGCCGAATCTTATGTACCCGGTTGGCTCATTATATGTTTCAATGAACTCTACCAGACCAGAAGTAGTACTTGGTTTTGGAACTTGGACTCAAATAGTCGACAGGTTTTTGTATTGTGCAAACTCTTCAAAGGAAACAGGTGGAAGTAAAACGATTTCAGGTGAAAATTTACCTGCACATAGTCACTACATAGATTTAAGTACATCTCAAGCAGGTTGGCATAAGCATAAATTTTGGGATTGGTCAGCAATGACAAAAGGTAAAGGATATGATGTTAAAGACAACGTTAAGTTTGCTATAAATTGTTACTGGAGTAACACTGAGGGAGGAGGAAACCATACACATCGCGTTCTCAGGATATACGCAAAACAACGGGACAAAGTAAAGACTACATGCCACCTTACATGACAGTTTACGCATGGTATAGAAATGCTTAGTCGTCATTTTCAACTTCTTTAGCATATTCGTCAGGAGTTGTCTTATATTTGTTAGGAACTGTCTTTGAAAGTATACACCTTGAACTTTGACAAGTTTGAAACGAGGTCTGACAATAGTAGTTTTATCTTCT